GTCCCAACGTGTACCGCGTCCCAACGTGTATCTACCCTCAAACTCAAATATAATGTGTCTGAACTCACCTCCACACTAACGTCTCGAGCCATGACATCTTTCATGCATACCTTTTCACATCGATTATTGTCTACTTTCATTTTCATGCAATACATTTGTTTCATAAATTTTCTTTTGAATTTATTGTGTTTTGACTACAACGAGTCTAACACTTGATTTGAATAGTATAAGTGTGATAAAAATATTAAGTTTAAATAAAAAAGAAGTTAGTTGAAATATGAATTCTAATCTATAATATAAGTACTTTTATATGTTTTACACTATTATTAGTAATATCAGAGTGATGAGTGTCACAATTTAAAACATGAAAGATTTAACAAAAATACGAATATACAATAATTACAAAGATTATCAAAATTTGTGTTGAAAGTAATAAATAATCTAATTTGGAATTTTCTTAGGTAATCATGTTATTTATTACTTTTAAATCAAGAAAAAATTTATTCAAATCAATACATTCAATATTAGTACATTGATTTCATTGAACAACACTAGTATGAAGTTTGTTGAATAACATTGAACATAATTCTAAAAATTTATCTACACTAACATCAATTCATTTTCAAACAGTTGAAATTATTTTAGTTCAAAGATATAAAAATAACCTGCTTTCAGCAGAAAAAATGATAATTTTATATAGATATTAATCATAATATATTTCTTTTCACTTTTATTTTACATTTGTATGTATTTCATCTTCGATAAAAAATCATCATTTCATCTTGATTTGTAAAAGTTTTAACTTTGAGTCTTATGATGCATTAACACTATGATATTTAGAAAAAAATCTGATAATTTGTTATATCTGCATTTTTTATGATTTATTAATTGATGTAAAAATAAAAAATATTTATTTAATGATATATCATGAGATACATTGTTATAATGAAAAATGAGTAAATTTTTTATGTATATTCTGTCAAATTGATAAACAAAAAATTGATAGCAAGAATGTTTTAGATGTAATCATGAAGTGATTAGACAATAATCATCAATGAATTTAACATGTAATTTTTCCTAAATATTAATAATTTTATTGATTGGAAAAATAATGTTTTAATTTAATATACTTATAATAAATTGACCAATTATAAATGATCATACTTCTTATCCTATAAGAAAATAAATAGAATTTTATTCATATATTATACTCAATGATATATCATTCATGATAATATTTTATATTGAAGAAACCAAGATCCAAAATTATATGTACTTGTAATTTTATCAACTATACTAACTATCAAAAGATAATCACATATACTTGTTTGAAATTTGCAGTATGAATGATATAAAAAGTGATAAACATCAATACTCTATTAACAAAAAAGCTATGATATTTTATACACATATCATAATTGTGTCAAATTCTAATTCAATAGTTTATACATCTTAGTTGGCATAATAGTATAATCTCATGTTTTAACATGGATTGATTAAGCAGAAACATATTAATATGTTTACAAGATTATTGTTGAGAGATTTATCAACTAAAATTGTATAATATACATTGGATGAGAAACTGTTGAAGATTTCATACTAGATCTTAATGGATTGTTTGTGAAAAATGATGAAACACAGTTTTAAAAGAGAGAAAATTTTTTCTACAAAGAGTAAGAGGTGCTTACAAGTACAAAGCTTTATGACGAGAATCCAAAGATTCAAATTACTGAACATAGTTAGTGGAACACACCAATATTGTGCTGATTTAGAGTATGATGTTTATCTATTAGATACCATAAAGCCTAAACTTTTTGTTAGTGATGTAAACAATAAAACCCAACAGACACACATCGACATAGAAATAACGTGGTTTATCCTTAGGAAGAGTGCTACATCTACCTAGAACTCTCAGCACTTTACTCCACATCTTGTCAGAAAGACTCCATGTACAAAGTGAACTCCGAAATGTTTATCCCCAGTCCAAACTACCGTCTTAGCTTTAAATAGCTAAAACACGAGGTTATTCCTTAACTGGAATTAATCTCAACAATTTTCCCCTTAACTCATGTTAATGAACAATAACCTCTATAACATACATTATTACTCTGCGGGAAGTTCTTGATAGAAATCTAACATAAGGCCTCATCTTTACACAAAAGTTAAGTAAAACTAAACCATGGCCATAATATGATAGAGTAATAACATAAAGAGGTAACTAAAAATTAGCTAGTATAGAGAGAGTAGAAATCTCGTAAATTATATAATTATTCCACGGTAAGTTCTAGAAAAAAAACTAATACAAGTACTCTCTTTACATGAAAGTTAACTAGAATTAAACCTTAGCCATCACATGATAGAATAAATATATAAAGATATGTTTGAAGATACTATGTTAGTAAACTTTACCTGCGCTTTCCATGCGCAACATGCATGATAGCATAGTGTTGACTAGAACTCTTTAGATAAATAATTTTGACCAACGCATTAGCTGGATTAAATTTACTGTATATTTTGACTAGCTTAATTACCAGAGTCTATCGTCAATTTTGACTAGCTCAATCATCAGAGTTTACCGTTAAGATTGATTACCTCAATCATCAAAGTTTAGTGTCAAGATTGATTACCTCAATCACCAGAGTCTACCATCCATCTTGACTAACTCAATCATTTATCAAATATTATTTTCTGATAAAATACCTAATATTGTTGTGCTTCATGGTACTGAAATTAACATATGCTATGCACGTCTTGATCATTAATCACATAATGATCAAATTTTTCCACAACTATATATTGGTGTTCATATTGATCATTAATCATAAAATGATCAAAACTCCCTCACTATTACATACGTGAATGAAAATTTTCACTTGTCAATACAAAGATCATGAGAATTCTACCTTTCTTTCAAGTAATAGGTCTCATTGAAAGACACACACCCACTAACATGAACCTTACAATCTATGTTGCTTGCGACTTACTGTCATCTTTCACTATCTCTCACCGTCATTCACTACTAACTGCATCTGCGGCTGACTACGTCCGCAACTTATCAAAAAACATAGTCCACAACTTACTATCCGTCACATGCGACAACCGTCGTCCACGACTCTCGTGACAACCATCACCCGCAATTGTACCGTCCGTCATTCACGACTTCAATCGCCCGTGATCACTATCCCTCGCTACTATTCGTTCCCTGCAACCACGTTGAAAAAGGAGAGACAATTGTAAACGATAAAACCCAAGAGAGACACATCAACACAAAAATAACGTGGTTCACCTTCAGGATGAGAGCTAAGTACACCCAGAACTCTCAACACTTTACTTCAGGTCTTGTCAGAAAGACTCCATGTACAAAGTGAACCCCGTGGTATTTATTCCTAATCCATACGAACATCTTAGCTATATATAGCTAGTACTCGAGGTTACTCATTAAATGGAGTTAAACTTAAACAAGTGAAAAGTAATTGAAATTAGATTTGGAAAATTCATATTGGTTTCAAAGTAAGAGAGTAGGAATATGCAAGAGATGATGGTTTGTTTATTGCCATTTATAGAAATATGACTTCACAAAGTATGGATAAAGCCATAAGGAAATACTTTAGAATCAAAGTAATTGGCAAGATACTATTGGGATTGAATTAGTTGAGATATATTTGGATAGTATCTGAAATTGTGGTGATTAAAGAAACAGGAAACAATTTTATGGAGAAAATTTTACTTATAGACTATTATGATGAAAAGATTGCCAACTATCTATGCAAGTCCTATGTGTGTCGAGTAACTAATTTTGAACAGATCTACGCTGATTGAGATGATACACATAAGGAGACCTTTTATAGTTTGTAGTTCTAATACATATTTTAATCATACGAGTATTTGACAATGTGAAGAAAAGGATAACAAAAACTTGTTATCATGAAAAGAAGATTTCGGAGATTCAAAAAGTTGGACACCTTAGTAGTGACCAAAGTAATATCCATGTGATAATATTGTCATGTTCTGTGACCTTAAATTCACTTGTGTTTTTTTATACCAAGAGGATCGTCAGACTTTCATTCCACTTGTATATTAGGTCTGCCTTTCATATAGTATATCACTACTCTTAACAATTTGGTCACATGAAAAGCACTCAAATCAAAGAGAACGAAATGTAACGCACACAAGTACTGACTTTCGTATATCCAGTTATCTTAACCCAAACCCGCTCACTCTTATAAGAGCATTCACTCCATCTTGAAAAAAGATGAGCCCTGGCTTCTAAGCTTTGATTCTGTGTACAATATCGAGCACGCAATAAAAGTGAACCTCGATTACGGTACCGACCTATTGAAAAATCGGAATTTTCTCTACACGGCGATTCGAGTACGTGCTTCTGCTGTGTAACTGGAAATGCTCAACAGGCAGGAAGGGAGAGTCGAATTCAACGAGTAGTCATTAGCGACACAAATGCTGTGAGAATTCAGTTTGATCAGTCCTAATGCGTTTGATCAGTTTGATCTGCCAATTAAGCAGAAGATTAGGCAACAGGGCCGAAGAATTGGCGAGGGAGAGGGAGGGAGCGAGAGATTGAGGGGGAGATGGAGAGAGAGTAGGAGATGCAGAAATTGGCACAGGCAGAAGAGATCCCATGAGATGTGACATCTGTGCCACAAGAATCGTGGAGTGGCATCGAAATAACCCGTTGAAGTCCAGAGGCGGAGGAGGTAGAGTGAGCCGAGCGAGCGAGTTACTGCTGCACTGAGACGTGACGTCGAAGCTGAGGTAGATTTGAGGTGGAGGCGGCGTCGAAATGTGCCATCTTTGTGCAGTCTTGTGCAGAATGCGTACGTCGTGTCGAGGCCTCTTTGGCTCCCCGTTCCTCGTCGATGACGTATTTGTGTTGTGTCCGGGAGTGCAATCGTGCTCGTAACTGCTGCATGAGGGCGGGACCTCGATCAAGCTGAGGCAGAAGACGAAGCCGAGGAGGAGAAGGAATCAGCGACGGGGCCAAAATGCCGAAGGCTGGGCCTCCTCCTCGGAAGAAGGATCGGAAGAAGCAAGAGCCCCTAGGACCCACATTTACCGCCGTTACTGGAAATGCAATTATACAGGAATTTGACACGTACGAAGCTTGAACCCAACCCATCGATCTAGTTTGGAGTTCTTTCCTCGAACGGCTGATAGTAAAGACATATCGCAACCTGAAGCACGCCTCTGGCACAATGCAGGGACCAATTGTCTTCAGTGTCTGTTAAATCTCGTTTGCGTTCAAGACATCAGCATATTCAAGACGAGTATCTCCGTGTCATTATTGTCATGCACTTGAGAGGCTAATTAGGTTTTTTAGACGGATTTATTTTCGTGCCTACACGAAGGCGAAGGACAATATCCGCCAATGAATTTATGGTCCTGATTAATGAAAACATCGCTGTTGTATCTGACATTCACCTGCGGCTTTCGAAACAGAGAGGCGCAGAGGCCGCAAATTGAACTTGTTTGGCTGTTGACACAGGTATGAAGACTATCTCGACAGTCAAATTACTTTGACGGACATGTTCTATTTAGAAGACCTGGAGCTTGCCAGACAGCTCATAGAATTAGGGTAAACTTATCTACCGCTCGGGGGCATTCTTGACGAATATTGTCGATTTTTGTCTCCTACCTACTGTTCTACTGACCCAACTGGTCATTTTGTGGAGTTCATGAGAGGCAAATCCCCTCTCTGTCGATTCAGGTCTTCCACACCACCTCTGCAAAAAGCAGATATAATCCTTGGCTGCTGTATTGTGAACAGATATAGAAGTAACGCAGAGGTAATGACCAGAACTGATTTTGCAGATTTCAAAGCAGCTGCTGAGCAAGCTCGTCTCCAAGTACATCAGCTACCTTCCAAATAAGCCTCTCTATTATATTTTTCTTCTGGCATAACTGGACTGCGAATTTCCTTTGCAGATTGAGAGTTATTTAGAAAGACGTTTTATGTTCTTTGGGGGTAATTGGAATATGAATCTCAGCTGTGAGCCACAGCCAACTTGTACTGCTCTGAGGACAAGCTGATGGACCGACTGTATGGAAATAACGAACAAACTAAATCACTCAGAGAAAGAACCCACACGTGATTTGTACGCTGTGTCTGAGTTACTGTTTACCTCCGTTGGCACACTGCGGCGAACTTAAGCCTGGGCACACATAAACTTCGAAGATTGGTCGAAGTTAACTAGACGGTAGATTGTGGCAAGGAAGTTTTATAGCGAAGAGTCTGTACATAATTGACATGGACTTGGTCGAAAATTCACTTAGTCCCTGTTAGTTTCGATGTTTCAACGACAACGTTGTGATTCCAGGCTCTTCGTAGAACACCGAAGAAACTCTTCAGTGCAGGAAAGGATCTCGAGGGCTATCCGTTTCTTAAGGTACCTGGCCTACCTGGAAATCCATGCTACATGCGTTTTCGTTTCCCTCTCAACTTCTTTTGCTCATTGTTCACATATACCTGATAACTTTCGGACTTGGATAAAATTATGCAGGCACTGGCTGAACGAGAAGCATCTATGGCCTCTTCAAAATTGGTTTTGGCCGTATCCTCATTCGATTGTCCATGTCAAATTTGTCCCGGACAGAAGCTTAAGGTCACGAACTGTAGTGTCCACCTTCAGATACTCCTGAAGGTGTGCCCAAATTAATTCCTATTTCATCTGAACTTAACTTCAAACACCTGAAAACTGGCTGATTTCTCCACAGTTATATACCAGTAGGAGATCAAGCGGCTATGGTACACAAACCTGGTTTCGCCTTGACATACAGTATCTCAGACAGTCATTTTCATTCGAGACTTCAATCCTCAGGGTCATGAGGTGAGCTTACTCACCTAATTCTGATGCCAAATGCTCCGTTACAGTGATAAGTGCATCAGGACTTGAGAATGACGGCACCGCATAGTTCAGCCGTTCTCACCAGGAAGACCTCAACATTCCTGACATCTGTTGAACGTAAAAGGAACCTTTGTAATAAGTCCAAATCTACTCACAACACACTTACCAAGATGCAGGATGAACCCAAATATGGATTGCTTCTAGAAGATCGCTGCCCGTGGCTATGAAAAGCTGATCTTATCATTCATAAGGGATGGAACAGATATCAGGCTACATAGACTTTGGGGAGCGGTTGAAAAGTGAAGATTTGGAACCTGTCTTTGATCGGAAGAAGAAGCTTCTCCCGAGTCCACATGATCTTTCCTATTACAACTGGTCTGGAGGCAATCCCTAATGACATTGAAAATCAGTTGCCAGCGCAACTATGTGTGCTTTCTGACTCACGGACATCTTCAAATCTTCCTAACTATAAACTCTCCTGCACCGAAGTCTCGCACAGCTGATAACTGGCCATACGTCATGCAGGGACACGAAAATTGCAATACAAAATTCTTCTCAAAATTGGCAGGTCAGTTTTGCCGAACAGGAAAATGTTCTTTATTGATATTTCAAAAGCAGTAGATCCAGTGACGGCCCCCTTTGGAATTTAAGAAACACGGCCTCGTAGCGTTTCCAAACTTATTTTTTATGCAAAACTTGTTATGCCCCATCGTTTACTTTCGCGTCTGCAACCTAGCTAGCCATCAAACTCACCAGGCTCCTACTGAATGACACTCAGAATTTCATCTTAAATCTCAGATGAACTCACAAACCATCAAAATGTATCGTTAACTTGAAGAACTTCCAGATTCTTGTTGCATTATTTTTCTCCAGGTGATTGCAGACAATGATGTCGGTGTACTTCTTAAAAACAAGAAAGATCGGAAGACTCTGAATGTAAGTTTCCCAGAAGAAGAACCTTATATAAGTGGGTAGGCAAACATACAAAAATTGCTCAGTTCAGCTAAATTTAACCCTTAATAGCTTTTGCTCAAGGTTTCTCATTTTGCAGGTAGACCCTGCGGCTCCAGCAGGAGATCTCTCGACACGTACTGTGGTAAGATTTATTGCTAGCTACCAGGATCAATTATCAGTGACTCTCTGTCTCTCTCTCCATGTTCATCAGGATCCTTTAATCTAGTCCGTCCTTCGTTCTGCAGATAAACACCAAAGAATACAAACATGTGGTGATCTTCGATCATATCACCCGACGACAGTATTGATTTTGTTACTCATCTCAACCTCCAGGTATATGTTAGTGCTGAACCTTGTTCCTTAACTTTCCTACACTAAATTCATGTCCAAATGGGTAAGTAACAGTAGATGTCATGATTACTGTGGTAGTAAGGTTCAAAATATCCCGGTAGGACAATCCGATGAGTGGAAAAAGTGGTCTCCAGCTGACGCAGAAATTAATGGCAGAGATTCTACCTGTCATCTGCTTCTGCTTCTGCTTCTACTTATACAACGTAGAGCGACACCCGATCTTGCCAAACTCCATAGCTGCACTTCTCGTGCTGATCTTGAGACATTTTTAAGAAGTTTGAAGCAAAAGAGATATAACTGACAGCTCTAATCCAGCAGTCTTGAGGGTGGATTCAACCCGCCGATGAGCAAAGTAATTGGAATTTACAACCGCGTCCAGGGTGAAACGAGAAAGGAAACAGAGATGAACACAAAGACCAAATTAAGAATCAGTCCCATTACCCGAGATGAAAACGCGGCTCCTCGAGTCAACTCCCAAAGAATTGTGGGGTTTTATGTCAGTCAGTTATAGGTCGAGGGAAGAAGCTGTGATGGTGTTTATAGGTAGGCCTAGCTCATCGACCCACGTGTTCTTTAACCTCTCGGCTTCGCCAGTTCGGATCCTGATCTGTATCACATTGAGTGCTGGTTTAGTCATGACAGACGGTGGATATTCACCACCAACAATGGTTGAATGTCCTACTCTTCTCGTAAGGGAATGTTCCTGAATCAGTAGGACTTTCTTAGTAAGCGTGATAAGCGTGAGAGGCGGTCTTTTCCTCTCTTCGATACAAAGGAGACGTTGTACTGCAAGCGCAGGAATTCCAGGTCTATCGAGGATCTAAACTTGAGTTTGCTGACAAATCAAGTTGAGTGTTTAAGAGGAGCCAACTAGCACGAGGGCCAACCATCTCTAGCCGATGAGAAATGCCGATGCTTTTGCCAGTTGCAGCCAGATGAAGCTGAATCGCCGGAAACGGTCCTGGTCCCGTCTGGTTAGGTTTTCTTCAAGCGGAGACTGCGAGCGAGTTTTGCACAGAAGACATATATGTAGCTTTTTTGCCACGAGCAGAGGTTATAGGCACACCGGTTGGTCATGTTGGTGATGTGGACACATTGAACGAGCAAGTGACTGAGGTAGCCTAGTGAAAGGAACAGAACGGCGCCATTTGGAACAGTTCCTGAATTCCAGTCAGTGGACCAGGTTGTTCGCAGTAGTATCATCGACATTTCAATCAGTGAGTCAAGTGGTTGTGTATCGACCTCTATGAAGAGAACTTCTTTATGGCAAGCAAAAATCGCTGAAGTGCCCGGAAGATATCAACATATTGGCTGTTAATTCGTTACCAAACACAACGTGTATCGACTCGAAAAGATTAGACTTGAGTCGTGATTCAGAGTCGACAAAGGTACCGGCTTTTCTCTTGCCACACATCCGGACTGGGCCTGGAGCTTTTAACCAGATTAAGAGTGTTGTACGTTTGAAACTTCATACGGAGGTTCAGAGCACCGAGAGAGAAGTAGGGAAGTTTCAACACTGACCCGTAACGGGGTTTTATGGGTCAAGGAACCTAAAAGGAAAGCCACGCATTTCATGGTCGAATGACATCGAATGTCAGGTCTCGCACATCACCCTCTCTCAATTTTTTGAAAAGTTTTGGGCTGTTTTTTCTGCCATTTTTTCCGCTATTAAGAAAAAAAAGGGTTTTATCATGGACCGCAACAGCGTCGTCTGGGAAGCGAGTTTTCGGAAAAGTTTTCTTCTGGAAGAGATTTCCCATTCCAGCAGATTTATGAATTTCTTTCATATATAAATTTTTCCGGAATTCATTGCCCACTAGCGCACTCTTTAAGTTTCGGTCAAAAGCGCAGAAGAGAGAACACCACTCGGTTAATGGGTTGTAGGATTTGGCCGTGACAAAATTTCCGCATCATTCTCAAGACGGGAACCCAGTTACTTGCAGAATATTTGGTCAGAAGGTCAGCGTACCTGAAGTATCGAAAGCATGTGTGAAAGTATCGACTCCCCTTCGCGTGGACGACGACCTCGGATGAAGGGACGAACCTAGATATAAAACATGGTGTTTCGAATAGACAAATGCGGAGTCAGATCTTGCAGCGTTTCCGGCGCCCAGGGGCGTAAAAACCTTTTGCAAGGGGGAAATGGCTTGTTCAACCAATGGTGCTTGGTCGACTCCTGATAGCGCGCCTTGTTGATCTCCTGGTAGTAGAGCCTGGCGCGGGTGCAGACATGGTGCGCGTAAATGGCGGGGGGCGCCATGGCGATGGCGTAGTGCGAGGCATCGTACGTGTAGGCCATGTGGTAAATGAGCGTCTGCAGCTCGTTGAGCGACATGCCCACCTCGTCGAGCAGCACGTTGTAGTGCGTGCTGCGCGTATTGCCGCCGCTGCTAATATCGTCGGTGCCTACTTGACTAACCGAGGCGTGCGAGGCCAGGTAGAAGTTCTGCTGGTGCGGGTAGTTGAGGTCGTTGACGGCGGTGCCGGCCGGCACGTCGCCCTGGGTGGCCCGGTTCAGGAAGCGCGTGTGGTGGCGCTTGGCGCAGACGACGAAGAGCATCTTGGGCCTGGGGCTGACGCCGGCGCGCTCGATGCCCTCAAACAGCTTGGGGACCTCATTTTTCAGGCATTGGAGGTAGTGGACATCGCCAATGCCGTCGCGGAACATCAGAACGTGTTCCAGAGTCGTCTGCGGATTTGCGGCTATGAACGTTCTCACCAGATCCTCGATCATCACGTCTATATCAAACACTATTTCCTCTTTCGGCTCCTGAATTCTCAACCTGGTGGCGTATGTCCTCGGCGGCATGTCGATTGTGGCCACCATGCCGGCGATGGAGTGCCTCAGAGCGCCTTTCGCGTGCGTCACGTCCAAGCCGATGATCATCGTACCCTTGAGTTTGAAAGTCGGCGGCACGGCCGACACAAACTTACCACTGAGCCCTATGTTGAGCCCCCCGAGCTTTCGGTTGATCGAGAGCATGATGTTACGGAACTTCGTGTCGGTCATCTGCCCATTGAACTGGAGGAGGTCCGGTTGATTCGAGGCCAGGAACCCCTTCTCCTGTCCTTCAATGAAGCTCGCGATGCTGATGCACTGCGACTGGATGCCGTACCTCCAGTCCAGCACGAACTTGAACGTGTCGTAGAGGTAGTGTTTGTCTTTGATGATCAGGAACACCATGGCCGGTTTCACGCCGTACCTCTCTCTGAAATTTTCGACCTCTTCGCTCAGAACAGTCGCGAATCTATCGCTCGTCTCGGATTCGGGCACGAACAAGAAAGGATCACTAGTGTTGAGGTTGAGCTCCTTCTGGGCCACGCTCTTCATCCTACTGAAGAAGGTCCGCACCGACCGCTCAGTTAAGGGCCGGATGCAGAACACTATCACATCGATCCGACCCCGCGGGAACTTGTACAGCGCCTGTCCCTTCTCCATGCGCCAGTGTCCCCCTCCCACGTCGACCCGCTCGAAGCGGAGTTGGAGGAGTCCATTGTCGTCCCCACTCTCAATCCTCGTGACATATAGAGACGGACTCTCCAGCTGGTACCCCGGCACTCTGAGAGGCTCCGGATTTAAGTCCATATCGAATCTTTTTAGGTACTGATCACTGCACGAGCAGAGAGATATACAGAGAGTGAGAACAAGAGAGAGAGAGAGAGAGGCTCCAGATTTATGTCCATATCGAATACTTTAAGGTACTGATCACTGCACGAGCAGAGAGATAGAGAGAGAGAGAGAGAGAGAGAGAGAGAGAGAGAGAGAGAGAGAGAGGTGGCGTCAGCGAGCAGGTTCCAATCAACTACATCACGACAATTGACTCTTCGCTCTGAGGGGTCGAGGATTCTCAGACATTCATTCGTTCATTCATTCAATGATACAGCACGAGGACCGAAAGAAGTCGAGACATGGCCCCGATCTAAAGACGCCGGGACATGCGAAACCGTGAGTGCGCCTGTGGGTGGAGAGAAGGAGAATCGAGAGCTCACTTAGCAGTCCGTTCCCGTATCAGCTCCGTGATGTCATCGAAGAGGACCTTGGCCCCATCCCTCATGCGATTCTCGAACAGAGTTTTGAAGGCGGCCTTACTGAGGGCCCCGCGCTTCATGGGGAGCTTGTCCTTCGCCTCGATGATGAGCACCCAGGGCGGCAAGTACCATTCGAGTTCCGGGTGCACTTTGACGGCCGGGTAGTAGTTGTCTGCCCGGGTGAGATTTGCCGCGCTGAAGTTCTCCGTCCCGTAGTACCCCTCGAGAAACGAGTAGTACTTTACCCGCTGCTTCGGCCCGTCCGGCTCAAAGCGGCCTTTATTGTAGACCGCCACTCGAAAGTTGCCGCACGGGTCCGGGCTCAGGCCGTGAATCTTGTAGTAACGCCAGGGCATTTTCGAGCGCCTCGGCGCCGGTATCTTGCACAACGTGCTTATGGCGCGGACATACTTGAGTAACTTCTCGGCGGCCGCGAGCTCCTTATGGTAGAGCGGGCGATCGCCTTTCCAACCGCTCTTCATCACCGCGATTCTGATGACGTCGGCCACGGAGACGTTCTTGGCCCAGTAGACGCCGGTCGCCGTGGAGATGTTGATGTAGACGCCACTCGCCAGCACGCTGCAGCTGCTGCGGCTCCCGCGCCGCAGCACGAACGCATCTCGGACACCTGGGCCCACATTCCAACTCGGGTACTTCACGAACCTCGCTCGCGGGTCGTTTTGATGCGGATAGCCGGATAGGCAGAACTGGCGCGCGTTTTGCGTGTCCTCGATGTAGTCGTCGAAGTTGTCCACGTAGTAACCCTGCAAGATGGCTGCAACGGCGTCGCGAATTCGGCGCACGGGCCTATAGTCCACGAACCCGACCCGCCGGTAGAGCTCCTGGTCGGCCCATAAGACGGGCGTCACATAGTCCGGGCTGTCCGGGATGATCTCGCTCTTGATGATGTTCAGAGTCAGGTCCCGTTTCTCCTTATAGTACATATGCGGTTTCTGGGGCATGACGGCGCGAGTGTGGAAAGTCGTAGCCATCCTTTCGGGGTCGAGCGCCTCGGTGCGGAACAGTGAGCCGCCGCGGTCCCAGATGCCGAGTCCCTCCTTACTCTCGTACCCCTGAGCCCTCCACCTTGCCTTCGCCTCTTCGTTGAACCTCCAGAATGCCTTGACTCTCCAGCTAGCGTGGCCTGTTTTTTTCCCGATGGCGTCTGGTTCCCAGGTCAACTTGTGAACGAAAACCGTCTTAGCCATGCTCTTGAGCTCGAAGTAGTTCGTCAGCAGATCGAGTGGTTTCAGCTTGTACGGTTCCACTCGCTGGATGGGCAGGACTTTGTTGAAAAAGCCCGGGTAGTAACAGCTCAGATTCCTCATCACTTCCTCCTTCATCGATATGAAGCTAGTGCCCCCGCGGAGCCGCATCCTATTGTACTGCTCGCTCTCTGCACACACGCACACACGCGCATCCGATGCTGCTCAGCTAGTGCTTCCTTGACGACCCACCATCCGTTGCCGGGAACAGACCGATGCGCGGGACACGCATTTTGGCACGACGGATCGGCGTTACTGCGCTAATCTCTGCGTCTGCACTTGCTGCGGATTTGGGGCTCTACGTGCGTGCTTTCTGTGGTGGCGCCTCGGACTGTGCGCATGCTTCCCGATCGGACAGCGTGCTCTGCATGCAAGCTTGGAAGTCTGCACTACCCGTGCTGTACTTGGAAGCAGAGCCCAACATTGGGCTAACAATAACGTCACCCAAAACCCATGCCCATGGGGTTTGGGTGGGTTTTGGGTGACGTTACTTTTCCATGGGTGGGCACAAGTGTAGCTAAGGGCAGTGTTTGTCAATGCCCAACCAAGAATTGGTGTAACCGGTTAATACACATAACGCAATTGGCGTAATTTGAATGGCATGGGTGGGCATGGGTGGGCTTAGGTCGCTGCTGAAGGTTATGGTCTGGTGCTGGCATGTGAGGAGGTAAGCACCCTGAATAAAAGTCGAAACTTTGATGTTTACTGCTTCGATGTAACGTTTGAAACTTTCTTTTATAAGAAGAGTGTGACATTTTTGGGAGAATTTTTATATCAAGGATCATATGGGGTAAATTCTTTTGTATCGGTCACATTTATGGAGTTCATTAAGTTAATCATTGATAATTGTGAGCAAACTTACTTCATTGGGTATATAATAAGTATTCATTCAATGTATGTAAAAGCTTGTTAATTTTCCTAATAAATCATTTGGTTCGATCTAATACCTGGAAGGTTCACGTCCACAGCATTACCAGCTGGATTAGCAGCTGCCATTGGTTGTTCGGGTGGTGGATTACGACGTCCTTCCACTACCGCTCGTATCCCTATTCCTTGTAATGCCCATCTTTCTCCCAGAGGTTCCGGGGGTTGTCCCCCAGAATCCCTAGCACCTGACGAGCTTTCTCCATCTCGTGCTGAATTCCTTCTATCGGGAGGAGGATATGGGTTTACTCGTCTAGATTCCCTGCTATCCCTTCTATCGGGGCCTCCTCGTCCTGATTCCCGTGTAACATGCATCCGCAATTGTCCAGCGGGTGGGGTACGATTAAGTTCTTCTCCCCCCCAAAAACGTCCGGCTCCTGGCGAGAATACTTCTTCTTGTCCTGAACCTGCCCCTCCCCTCGAACCTCCGGCTATTGACGTGCTTGCTTCTCCTCGTCCTGGATCTCTAGCACCTGACAAGCTTGCTCCATCTCGTGCTGAATACCTTCTATCGGGACCAGGAGGAGGAAGTGCCCCTCCCCTCGAACCTCCGGCTCTTGAAGTGCTTGCTTCTCCTCGTCCTGAATCCCTAGCACCTGACGAGCTTGCTCCATCTCGTGCTGAATTCCTTCTATCGGGAGAAGGATATGGGTTTACTTCTATCGGGGCCTTACCTCTATCCCTTCTATCGGGAGGAGGATATGGGTTTACTCGTCTAGATTCCCTGCTATCCCTTCTATCGGGGCCTCCTCGTCCTGATTCCCTTGTACCTGGACTCCTTCTATCGGGAGGAGGATATGAGCCTTCTCCTCCTCCCCCTGATCCTGATACCCTTCTAGGAGGAGTTCGGTCTTCTCGCCCCCGAGCTGATCCTGAATTTCTTCTACTACCGGAGGCTTCATCTTCCCGTCTTCTACTACCGGAGGCTTCATCTTCCCGTCCCGTCCCAGATCCCCTTCTAGGAGGAGTTCGGTCTTCTCGCTCCCGAGCTGATCCTGAATTTCTTCTACTACCGGAGGCTTCATCTTCCCGTCTTCTACTACCGGAGGCTTCATCTTCCCGTCCCGTCCCAGATCCCCTTCTAGGAGGAGTTCGGTCTTCTCGCTCCCGAGCTGATCCTGAATTTCTTCTACTACCGGAGGCTTCATCTTCCCGTCCCGTCCCAGATCCCCTTCTAGGAGGAGTTCGGTCTTCTCGCTCCCGAGCTGATCCTGAATTTCTTCTACTACCGGAGGCTTCATCTTCCCGTCCCGTCCCAGATCCCCTTCTAGGAGGAGTTCGGTCTTCTCGCCCCCGAGCTGATCCTGAATTTCTTCTACTACCGGAGGCTTCATCTTCCCGTCCCGTCCCAGATCCCCTTCTAGGAGGAGTTCGGTCTTCTCGCCCCCGAGCTGATCCTGAATTTCTTCTACTACCGGAGGCTTCATCTTCCCGTCCCGTTCCAGATCCCCTTCTATTTGATCCACTCGACATCTTCACACTGTTGAGGTGCGTTGGGCTTTTGGGTCTGTTGAATCAGTCAGGTCCAGGTCTGAATTGGGACCATGGTGGCCCGAGGGCCGGCAAAGCTCATGAAACTTGTGATACTTTGTGGAAGCACTTCGTCCGTCCTACAGCTGTGCGGCCTGCGATCTGGGATGCCTCATGCCTCATACCTCATACACAGCGCCTTCCTCGATGTCGTCTATCACCGGCATCCCGAACATCCTCGCGCACAGAGACCCGCTACAGCAATGGCATGCGAGCAAGGCAGCGCCCAGAATCGGGGCTGAATATTACTAGAGATTTTGGTCGTGCGGATAGCATGGAAGATGAGATTGTCACAGCAGCAGGACGGACTGAGAGCACTAGTAGTGACCTACATGGACCCGCAACTGAAAGATCTGTATGAAGCCAGCACGACCAGAGAGGATCTGACTCAAATGGTTCGTGCACGGGCCATGCTAATAATCTATGGCCCTCACCGACGCCTTGCACGATTCATTTCCTTGACACTTCTGACGTCGTTATCTGTGTTCAATTTTCTGGCCTCCAATCACACAAGCCTCACTTGACCTCTTCCACAGCTATACACAGACTGTATCTCAGGCCTTCGAGGCTCAGTACAAATCTAGGACGCTTTTGTTCTATTACCTTGCATATAAGTTCAGATTGTCCATCATCATAAGCGTAATGCCGAGTTTAGCAGTAACACGTCACATTACCCTTCGACGCTTTGAGACGCTCTGGAAAAAAGGTGGACTCGCGCAACGAACTCAGTCGCAGTTTTAACCAGGAGCACACAGATAGTAGCTTACCTTTGAATTCGGCACAGGGTCGTAGTCTCTCACCAGATTTGGGGCGATCTAAACGTGAAATTTGTGCCCTGCCTGCTGCTTTGAGTAGTCGTCGGCTTTCTGGATCAGAAGTTGGAATTTCCGAGCATAACCACCTGAGTGCTGGTAATTCAACGACCAAATGTCGGATAAGTGAACGTACCTGGTATGACGATCAAAAGATCTGGTCGTACCTGACGTTGAGATCTTACAAAAGCTGCCGATAATCGATTCGAGCCCTGTTTGTGCTCGTCTTCGAACGATTTTCTGTATCACCTCTGACTCATCTCACCGCTTCAGAGGCTAGTTCCGTCGACAATCCTCTCAGGTTTTGCCGCGACAGAGCTCCATCTGCAAGGAATGACGGCGGGTTGAATCCATGTTCCAACTCGCTGCACTCAACTAAACCGAGAGGTGACAGTCGTTGGAGCGTTCGCAATTAGCGCTCTCATCAAGCCCTAATCGAATCGCCACACTTCTGAAACGGCGCATCTGCTGAGTACGCTGACTTTGAGGTCTTGTGAAACGCGGAAATTGAAGAAGGGTTCACACCATGCACATAAAACAAAATATCATACTTTGGGAGCGCATAAAATCTTCTCTGGTAGATGAGTCACGATTGCAACGGGGCTTCGTAAGTACAAAGTGCCGAGAAGAGCGCGAGAAGTGATCGTTCGTGTTTGAAAGGACAGGAGTCCGACATCCAGCTAAACGGCGGCGCATGCGATGAAGCGACACACAGACCAACAGCTTATGAGAGAATGTTCTGCATGCAGGCTCTTCAAGTCAGCATGCACGTGATATCCCGATGAGGCTCGGATCACAGCACGCTTTACACCGCTGTCGTGCTCTCGACTGCTCTCGACTCACCAACGTAGAGTGCCTGCTCAGAATCGATATATGGAAGGCAGTGCCCAGCTGACAAGCCATGTCGCTCTGCCCCATTGATGAATCGATTTCAGCTCACCCTCGATCTCCAGTTCGACCGAATGAAGCTCTCTCCGGTACTAACTTCTCGCGTTCTTCCCGGAAATTCCCTCGAACGGCGAAATTGCTGCGTGTGCGGTGCGAAGCCGGATGACAAGTTTTCCTCCTACAGTGGCCGAGTGAGTGAGCCACGAAGTGTCAGAGAAAGGTGTGAGTAGTTCCAGCAAGCCCATTACGCGAACGACTTCGTCAGCTATTTCTGCTGTGCCACCGGGGGCCCCTTCTAACTGCTGTCTTCGATATCAGAGTCTGAGTTATAGCCGAGTTTCTCATACGTCACCCACTTGGACTGCGCCGTCGCGCCCAATGCAGAAACCGCCGCGTGGTGGCGGCCGTCAAGGATGAGGACAGTGCCAAAACAGAGGGGTCGATACGGCATCGAGCTTTCTACGAATGCATGCATGGCGGCTAAGGCAATGTCGGCATTGGACATGGCTTACCGACGTGAAACGTACAGGCATCATAGTATTTGGAGCTCTTATTCACGCCTCTGACGCTACGTCCTGCTCATGCGGCGACGTAGACCCTGTGTTTGTGTGCACTTGTCGTCAAGCGTGGAGCATGAAGGGATTGTAGGTCCACGTCTTTGGCGACAATTATGACGACTGCACCGAGGGCTGGAGTCTACAGCTGCAGCGGTATTTCGTCGATCAATTCACCAATTAATGAAAACGGGTCAATCTCAAGACGCATGTCTTGAGAACTTGTTTCAAGTCATGAGTTTTTAGGAGCAAAAAGGCTACAGTCGACAGGCACTAAGCGGGATGTCTTGATCGGTAAGAGTTGGCCCGATGATGGACGACCTGATGGGCTTAATGTCAGAGCCAAAGTCTCCAGGCAGATATATGCTAAAAATTTCAGGTGGGTCCAGCCGGGCTATCCGGGTGTAGAAGAAAATAATCGAATCAAATCCAGATGATCATGGGACCAGATAATAAACTCATCGAACGCTGAATGCTGTACCTCGAGTCCACTTTCGAAGAACTGTGTGGGGTTGTTATTGCTTCAAGAATACTCTAGGGAGCGCTGCTCTTTTTCACAGGCTGTCATCCTCAGTCTTTGTTTATTTTCTATGATTTCCAACTTTAAGTGTTGAGTAACTTGACGATGAACGCGCAGGTCTCTCAGTCTATGCGAATCTTAATCGCAATAAGCGCTGAAAGAATGCAATACAGACGGTGATAAGCGAGCTATAGAGCGAAGGTGCCAACTGCTCCTCTAGCCGCAGATCATTCTATATACTCGTTTTCACTACCTTCAAATTTGTCGGTGACAAGTGGCGATTATCTCTCCAAACATCAATCGAACATTTTTCTCGTGAGCGAAGATGCCAACTGCTCCTCTAGCCGCAGATCTTTCTATATTCTCGTTTTCATTACCATCAAATTTGTCCTCATTTTGACATAGTCAGAAACGGCAGGTTCTCCAGGTCTATCGTGCAAGTAAGCTTCAATTACTTTGACGACGTCCGGGTACGTGTTTAAGAGGACCGAGCTAGCGTGAAGCCAGGTTTCTCTTGCAGAAATGTTGCAGATACAACCAAATGCAGCAGAAAAATTACTAGAAGCATAATTTAAAGCAGTGGTTGTATATTGAAGGGTTTCATTGTCGATTGACAGACTCAAGAGGAGTTGAGGATAACGAAAGATTTACCGTTTGTGAGAACCCCACTTGACTCCGAAATTATCCCATGGGGCTGGATGTGTCGGTGATGCGCCACACATTATTACATAATACTAGCGAGCTAGAATGGTGAAGGACAGCCCCAAAAGTTTCAAAGTATGGAGTTTCAGCTGATGAATCAAGTCTTCTGCTAGCGACTATGAGAGAGCCAAATAATGTAGAGAATTGATCACTGGTTGATGAAAGAAATTGGCCGAGCTCACTCAAATAACATCAAATTGCGGGTTCTCGATTCTGCTCTTCCCTACGTTGTTAGACGACTGTCGTGCTTCCGAGTCGATAAAAGTGGAGGTGAAGAAGTACCGAGTGCAAGAAACGTGGAAGCAGAATGTGCCTTCCGAGTACCATGCCATTGAGTTCATTGAAGTCCACTCGTTATCATATACATACACAATGCATCATCCATCGAAGGTAGAACGACCGTTCAGAGAAGTGAGCGAGAACAATGCACATGTACTAAACAAGTCGAAATCAACAAAGCCAGCGTCGAGATTTGAGCTTTATTATCGAGCTGCATGCAAAGGGTGAACTTCACCGACTGTCCTTGGAAGGGGTCTCGAAGTTTTTAGGGACTCGGCTACTGCTGTAAACCAAGATAGTCGATGAGCAGATGGGAACGTGTTATGTTTCACGAGATCCACGGTAGCCTGAGAAATGCCGTCTCGCTACTGGATCGAACGACGGGAGGGACATGAGCGAGAGGAGGTGTGTCAATGTCGATGTCAATGTCGTGAGGTCCGAGGTTGAAACTAAGTCAAAGATAAAACATCGTATCGCGAATGTTTATGTGAGGAGTCAGGTCGGACTTCACGTGAGGAGCATAGGGACGCGATTCCCGAGTCCTTTTTTCGGCAGGAAACGGAGGGCGCTGATCCTCGGGCTTGCTTCTAATCCTGAGGTAGTAACATTTGGCGCGAGTGCAAGCCATATGCGAGTAGTGGGACGCCGGAGCGGTGAATAAAGACCTGTAGGTTTTGTCGTACGTGAAGGACGAATGGTAGATCATAGTCTGCAGCTCGTTCAGCGTGAGGCCAATCTGGTCCACTATGACCTGATAGCACACGGGCCGGCTGATTCCCATTTTGGCATGCGACCATTGAGCCTGGTGAGAGCTCATGTAGAAGTTCTGCTGGTGCGGCAGGTTCAGATCGTTGATGGCGGTGCCGTGGTCGATGCACTTGTTCGTGGCGGCGACCATGAACCGCGTGTGGTGGCGCTTCATGCCGAGGACCAGGAGCAGTTTGACGCGGTTGCCGCCGCCGCCGCGCTGGACGCCGTTGTAGATCCGCGGCACCTCCTGCAGCAGCACGTCGCGGTAGATCTCGTTGGACACGCCGTCGCGGAAGAAGATCAGATGCTCGAGGTCGGTTTGGGGGTTCCTTTGCTTGAAGACGCGCACCAGATCGCACACCATGTCCTCCAGGTCGTAGATCATCTCCTCGTAGCCCTCCTGGACGCGGCAGCGCGCGCCGAACGTTCGCGGCGGCATGTCGTTGGTGGCCACGACGGACGCGATGGAGTGCGGCTGTTCGTGCGTCGGGTGCGTGACGTCGCTGCCGAAGATCATCGTCCCCGGGAGAGCCGCTTCTTCCGTGTCGGACAGCCACTTGGACCGCAGGTGAACGTTCTTGCCGCCGAGCTTCCGGTTCAGCTTCAGCACCAGGTTATTCAGCTTCCGTTTGCCGTATTCCGTGACCCCGAAGGTCAAGTCGTCCAGGCGCCCCTGCGCGTTGAAGTCTCTCATGCCGTGCACGACGAGCCACTGCGAGGGGATCCCCATCAGGAAGTCCAGGATGTACTTGAACGCGTGGTAGAGCCTCGACTTGTCGTACACCACGCAGTACACCAGGCGCGGGGCGCACCCCCGGCGGGTCACATACGCGTTCAGCTCCTCCTGCAGTCGGGTGGCGAAGTCGTTGATGTTTTCGACCTTGAAGAAGCCCAGGTTCGTGATGCTGTCGGCCAATTGGTTGAAGTTCCCATGGACGACGATTCTATTCTGCTGCAGGGTCCGATGGATGGCGCGCATCAGGTTAACGGCCACCTTGCGGGTGATCGGCTCCACCGTGAAGACGATGAAGTCGCCCAGCCCTTCGGCTGGCGAGAGCAACCGCTGGTTATTCAGCAGACACCAACCGTTATCCCGAACCTCCCCGGCTCGCTCCAACGCGTTGGTCGCGGCGTTCGCCACGAAGAGCTCGGGCGGCGGCATCCGGTAGCCTTTCACTCGGTGGAAGTTCGGGTCGATCACCAAACCGAACATCTTCAGCCACGGGTCTCTGAGGCCCCATGCCACACACAAGCACAGCCCGTCAGGTCAAGTATCCTCGAATGACGAGACTGACAGAAGAAGAAGAAGAAGAAGAAGGACCAGAACCAGAAGCTCCGGTGACGCCAGAAACGTAGACATCCGAGCTGAGCATGCCTCGAAGCCCAAACAAATATATGCACGAGCAGAATCGATTGGCCACTGTGGGCAGACGCAGCGGCCGCTGTGCAACCTATGCCCGGTCGGCCCGGCACGCAGCAAGCACACCCTCCACGAGAGTGATTCGATCCCAAATATGACCGCAGCGCAGTGGGACTTCTCATGTGGACGTGGAATGTGGATGCGTGTTTCTCGTGAGCTGACGGCAAGGCGTTAGTCCACTTACGCATCGAGCCTCTCCCGGAGCTGTTGTTTTATACGTTTGAACCTGTCCTTGACCAATTCTTCCTTGTGAATATCTTGCAGTCTGCCATGCATTAGCGTACCCAACTTCGTCTTCCCTGCGGTCGGGAATTTATCGCCATCTTTGCAGGTCAATAGCCATGGCGGCAGGTAGAATTCATATCTCGGGTGCACTTTGACGGCGGGCACGTTTGCGTACTTCGGGTCGACCCTCGAACGGTCGAACTGGTTCACACCGTAGAATATCTCGAGAAAGTCGAAGAAATTCATGTCGTAGGTTCTCTTGGGAAATTTTCCACCAAATGTTCTTTCGTACTTGGCAACAACGAGGTCGCTGGCCGGCACCCTGGAGAAGCCATAGACCTTGTAGTACTTGACGGGGTATTTTTCCAGGTTCTCAGGAAGCAGATTCGACAAGGAACACTTCGCCTGCACGTACTTCAAATTAGACTCCAGGTGCTTCACACACTTTAGGTCGACAGCGTTGAACCCGCACAACTGGGCGACTGCTAGCATGACGTCGTACAGATTATGATTTCGACCCCAGAACATATTGATGGACGTGATCATGTTCACGTAAATTCCGCCTTGCAGGATTTTGGTGGCCATGCGAAAACCTCGCCGGAGGGTGCAGAAGCGGTCCACGGCCAAACCAAAATTCCTCACCTCCACGTACGCCGCCTCCGGGTCGTTGCGTCTTGGGAACCCGGCGTGGAAGTAGTGTTTCTTCTTCCTCCAGTCTTCGAGGTAATGGTTGCGGGTCGGGTACGCGCCCAGGACATTTTGCAGGGCATTGAACAGATGGGTGAGTTGAGACCAGGCGCCGCCGGTCCTCTTGAAGTTGGCGTAGTCAGCCCATTGGACCGATACGGGATTCAGGGGCCCGCCCGTTTTCTGCGGCTGGTGATGGATGAACTTCATTCGGATATTGAAGCGTCTGTTATAGTTGGTCTTCTCCCTCATCGGCAAGTAGCCCTTCACTCCCTTGAAGGAGATGGCGGCATCGGGGTCCAGTTTTTTCAAGCGGAGGAGTTCCGGACCGCGGTCCCAGCAGCCCAGCGCGGTCTCACGGTCGGTCTCGATGCCCTGCCCCGTCCACGTCTCGTACACCAGTTCATTCATCGCCTCGAAGGCCTTCATTCGCCACTCGCTGAGGCCTTTTATGGTCCCGACGTGCGAGGGGTCCCATTCGATTTTGTAGGTCCACGACTGGTCCACGAACCTCTCGATTTGGAAGTGATTCGTCAACAACCACATGAACTTCGGGTACTCGTCCACTTGGAGGATCGGGAAAATGGCGTCGAAGTAACCCGGGCTGTACACGGCCCAGTTCTCCAGTTCTTCGCGGCTCACGTCCTCCATGTACATGCCGCCGCGTTTGATCAAGCTCGCCCACTGCTGGTTCTCTTCTTGGCCTGCGTCAGAGCAACCATCCGATTGTCCGTCACTCGAATCTCCCCCGGACCGCCCTCTAGCTACCGACCTCGGAGCAGCTGTGCGCTGCTGTGCGTCGTCCACTGTCGAGGATTTACCGAGGTTTCGGCCTTGCTCCACAATTCAACACCACGATCGACTTTATCGGTCGCGAGCTGGCCTCAGTTCACTGTCATACGTCATGTGGATTTTCCACCTTCCACAACAGCGCTCTATGCAAGCGAGACTGGTCGTCTAGCTCGAAACTTCAGATGTCACACAGGCGTAGCGCCCAAAAGGACCCTCTTCATGCTATCATGAAATACGACTAACTGAGCGAGTTGGTGCAGAGCGTAGCTCACGGAGCATGCTATGGACTAAAATACTATGCCTAGTTTGGTGCAGTGAGGATTTTACACGGTAGCTTGATTTGACCACCGCAGAGGAGAATTCGTATCAGTTGAAATCACGTTCGAAGCTCTGTAGGTACTCGGGTTTGGACATGCTGTTGTTCCGATCGAGACAGGTCTAGGTTGGCGTTGAATTTCCGAAGCTTGACAACATAATCTACTGCAAAATGAACCGCTGCCACTATGGCCTCGCTTTGAAGTAGTTCAGGTCGTGAGAGTAACCAGGATACATGGATTCCGAATTTTCAGGTCTTATATATACACTTTTTTAACGATTATCAACACCCTCAGTTGGCCATTGGTACGAAGCACAGTACTTCACAATCCAACTGGTAATCGGGTGCACTTTTCTTATAAACTTTATATCATCACTACTGCTTGCAGTCTCGGATTGTCATCATATAAAATATATACAGAGTTCTTCGGGATCATGTAAAAACACACACAGACGCAGAATGTTGGAAAAACTCATAAAAAGTTTTACCTCTTCTGTGTTGCACTCCTGCTGCTCCCTGTCTTGCTTGTTGCTGTGGTAAATTTACTATGGCAAAGTTGGCTACTGATGACTGAAATCTGGTGCCTGCTTGGCTTCGGTCCTCTTCTGGTTCTGGGTTTTCGCGGCGGCGTGAGCCGAAATCTGCTTCTAGGTCACGGCCTGCTCCTGCTCCTGCACTTGGACCTGCTGATGTGGATGGCTCTCCTGGACTTGGACCTGCTGATGTGGATGGCTCTCCTGGACTTGGACCTGCTGATGTGGATGGCTCTGCTTGACCGGTCGGTAGTTGCTTCCAAGCGGAAAACGCTACTAGTTGTTTCCGAGCGGGTGGTGGTGCGGATGGCGCTGCTCGTGCTGCTGGTTGGGGCCCAGCGGATGGCGCTGCTCGTGCTGCTGGTTGGGGCCCAGCGGATGGCGCTGCTCGTGCTGCTGGTTGGGGCCCAGCGGATGGCGCTGCCCGTGCTGCTGGTTGGGGCCAAGCGGATGGCGCTGCTCGTGCTGCTGGTTGGGGCCCAGCGGATGGCGCTGCTCGTGGGTTCGCGTTTCCTCGTCTATTCGTTTTTTTTAGAAAAAATGCTGCTATTGCGCTTTTCGGTTCTTGGCTCCCAGAAGATTGCCCTCCTTGGTTTTGTGGGGCCTGTGCTGGGTTTGAGCTAGGTGGCTCTATCTGTTTTGGCTCTCCCGATCCTCCACCTCCAGGGTTCTTGTCCTCCCGATCCCCCATTTCCCCGAGTTCTTGAGGTCCTTATTGGAGGCTTTGAGCCAGAAACTCTCAAGCATGGATCGGCATTGAAGCTGGAAGAAGCTTTGTGTACGCCTCAGTGGACTGGCTCATGTCTCGACTCCTCGCATGCCACAACGAAATCTGATAATTTCCTGCTGCACAGCGCCGTCAAGAGATCCCAGTGGAAAATTGTCGAATTCCTTCTCGTAAATTTCGACGTAAGCACCGAAGATCAGAGTTTTACCTCGAGACAATTCCACTCACTCTTGCTCCAACGGTGAGTGGTATCATCGATACGAAAATGGACGGAAGTCTTGGCGGCGAGGTCGCCTGCAGCTGGCATGGCGAAGCTTCAGGCACGTCTTTCTCGACTTGTGCACGGTGATATCCTTGCGGCCTCCGTCCTCAGCGCTCGTGTCAGAAATTTATCGTCCCTGACTAACTACTTAAACTTACAATCTCCTGCTAATGATTATCCTTCTCTTCGATGGCTTCTTGTCAGTTCTGTACTCGACACAAGACTAGCATTATGTTCCAACCCTCAAACAGATTGGAACGACAGACTTTTGTCGCAGTGGATGAGACTCGGATGCACACAGTGAAGTCGAAGTTGAACACATAATAGATTGATAATCTACAAGCTGGACCAGCTGGAAGAAGGATGAATGGCACGTTAAATATTCAGACCGAACCGAAATCAAGAGCACTGAGCAGTAGAAAATTGGAAATCACAGACACTCGAAGAGTAAAGCTCCACTTACCACTTACTGACTTGGAGCCATTAAAGCTTGGAATACGTCAACATGAAGGACGGCGAAGTCCGACAGGATCAATCTGCCTAAATTAGTAGATTTGGTTTTCTGCATCCAAGGTTAGTCTGTGCGGCCAACATTGCACCTCTGGCAGGAATTTCAAAGAATTCAGGTCGGAAAGGTGCTCATACCTCGTAAAAAAGCCGGCGTTCTGGTCGTACCTCTCCGATCGCCTCCATTATGATGCTCATCCAAAGCCAATTTGTGCTCGTCTTCGATCGATCGTATGCATCGATCGCAACTCATCGAATTGCTCGTTGGATTCGGAACCCAGAAGCTCGGAGTCTAGCTGGTCTGGATCGCGGCGAAGGACCTAGACCTGCACAGTCCCACAGCAAGCTGGACCCATTTTCGAGAACTGTCGCTGCATTCCAAGGTCCAGCCCGACGTAAAGCCGAGTCCGTGACGATTGTCGCACATTCGCAAATGAATCGCCGCACATCTGAAACGGCGCATCTCCTTGCGCGGACTCGTCGTCAGGTTTACACACGAACGTGAAGAGGCTTTGCTTCTCGGAGGTGGCGTCACGGACGAGATTTCCGCGTCCACTGAGATGGCTGCTCGAGTCCACGATCACCACCAGGAGTTCCAGATGACTCTCGAGATTCACCACTCGACCGGATCAGATAGTGGACCCATCGATCACCTCGACGCGGAGAGTCAGCCGCTTCCTTGAGCAACTAGAGTTCATTGTGTGAAAGAATTCAACACCATCGACCTCGTGGTCCCTGCGAGCGAGCGAAGTTCATCGACCTCGACAATTCTGACTATACGCTCTTCGCATCTGTGCTGCGCTCAAACCTTGTCAGCAACATTGACCTCGTTCTCAAATGCCGAACCGATCGAGTTTCTCGATAAATTGTCTTTGGCTTTAACGAAGTAGCGAGAGCTCGTAAGGATGACCGACCGCACGCACACTGAGCTCGACGAGGACTCCATCGGTTGGATACTCTCTTAGAATTCAAAATCAATTCATCTACTACATTATGTAATGTTCATTTCCTTCTCAATTTCGGATTCTAATAATGAAGATCGAATTAATTTTATGCAAAACTGATTTAATTTTTCGACAATGAGGGTACTGAAGTTTGACGTCGATATTTTCCGACAATGCATCCGGAAAATGAGTTCTGTCATGTACTTATCGTACTTACTTCGAACAAATATTATTTCTAAGTCACTAAAAATGTCAGAAAGAACTAATAATCAATTGAACCGATGAGATAGAAAAAATTTCGAAATATTAAAATTTAGAAACTTTAGAAAAATTAGTTCCAATATATAATTAAAGGACATCATTTGTACTGACGTTGAAGTCAACAACAATTTGAAATGTAAATAACAATGTTTTTAATGGTTTCCAGAAATGGCTTTAGGATTTCCGCACACTTCTTTGCCTTAAAAAATAAGAAAATTCAATCAACCATTTATATAATGTGATAAAAGTAACATTTTAGGTGGAAAGTTAATTTGTTTCTGTTTTTTCAATCGTTCAGTTTACTAAAGTATATGCAAATTTCAGCATGAAAATTTTGAATTTCAATTTCAAATTTATTATTACATTAAAAATAATAATTTCAAATTAAAAAATTGTGTTTGTTTAAATGTAATATACATTAACTGTGCTGTGTTTTTTTTCAATAATACATCAAGACCTTTTCTTCCAAATACGTTTAATATTATATATTGCCTATTGTATAAATCAATAATATTGTTTGTTTGTTTATTCAATTACGATGATATCTGTATTTTTTTCGTTAGTTTTATTTGAAAAAATTTTAAAGGAAAAATATTATTTTTATTTAGTGATGCTATGATATACATGTATTTTATGAACTGTTCTAAAAATTGATGTTATGTTTCGATTTCTAATTATATTGAGAAATAAAAATATCATTATATGCATATAAAAGAAAATATACGTATTTTGTATTGCAAGTTTTGCTGTAGATTTATGTGATTTGTTCCATTTAATCAATAGGACAAGTTTCTGTTTGCATAACAAATCCTGTATCATCTATATTCTGGTTTATCATGCATGAATCTGAATGAAGCAGTTGAAACCTATATAAGCAAATACATTTTCATGTTTGAAAATTTTTAGTATAAAATCAAATTTTTATAAACTTATCAAATCTTAAATTAGAATAATCAATTTACATATTATAAAAAAGTGTGAAAATTTTTAAACTATTTTTTTAAATGCAATGTCTGTTATCTCATTGCATCAACAAATAAAATTCAAAGTAATTCATTGTTAGAATAAAATTCTTCTTATTGAATTAAGTTTAGTTAGCAACCTCATGACTAGTGATATTTAGCCCTCACTTTTTAAACTGTAAGTTACTTCACTGAATAATCAATCTTGTTTTCTACTTGGTCGTGAATGTATCACTTTGAGGTGAATCACGTTGTTTTGGTGTCGTGTGTAATTGTGTATTTTCTATTTTCACTATATTTCACTGATTCTTGGTTAAATACTTACAAAAATAACATTCAAATTTACCAAAAATATACATTATATTGTACATAAAGCTAATGAATATAATAAATTTTAAAAACTTATGAACAAACAATAATTTTTCAGATTAAATAAACAATTCATGATTTTTTTCATTTAAAATTTTGATTTTATTATCAAATGAACAGAATAATTTATAAAACATTTACAATGATAATAAATCTCATCATAAAGTGATGATTTATATAAATAATATAAATATCAGATAAATACAAATATGTGATTTTTTTATTAATTATTAATTTACTGATCATGATTCGCATTATTTTATGTCGTTAAGTTGTATGGATAATGTTTCCAAAGTTAATAATTTATAAAGATTTAAGCAATATTTGCTATAAATTTTTATTTTATTCTACTTAAAACTAATTTTCAATTCTTTTATATCTGAAATATTGTTTTATATTTTTCATATTAAAAAATATAAATATTTCTGGAGTAAAGAAATAGAAAATAACTCTTAGATTTAAAAAAATTCTAGTATTATTAAAAAATTTAAACCAGGAATAAAATTAAATCGAGCACAAATGATTGATAATTTTTAAAAAAAATCCAACATCACAAGCTTTATCACAATAAATTTCAATTTCAGTTTTAAAAAGTATTTATTTGGAAATATTTGAAGTTGCAAATAAACACAACAAGATAGATATGATATCAATCAATATGTTTAAATATTTAGAGAAAAAATGAAAAAAAATGGGAATTTTGTTAGAAATTTTTTTTTAATTTATTTCAAATTTTTGTCATGTTAATCATGTATTATAAAAATCAATTATATTTCGAAAGAACTTTCATAATATTTTTTTTAATATTCGAATTTTTTTATTATTTCCTGGTTAAATTTTTCTTTTGATCTCGAACATCAATTTCTTCATCCGAAATAGACAAAATTTGCCTGAACAAATCTACAATATTCATGTATAAAATAAAATATTTGACTAAATAAAGATATGCATATCATGAAAATATCAAATTTATTTGATGTGTATAATAGAAGTTAAATTTTGATCAGAATCACTGTTTATAATATTATTTTTTATTAGAAATAAATTATATGTTTAAAATGGACATTTATTAAACAATCATTAACAACTAATTATGATAAAATTTAAATAATTTCCATGAAATTTTTCTTACATTGTTTAATCACATTTTTTATTTATTATCTTCAAAAATCAATAAAATCCCAATTTCAACTCTATTGATAGTATATATAATCAAAATGATTTTATTTCTCATGCCAAAGCCAAAAGCTTATTCAAGTTAAACTAAATTTGCATGATATTTTTTTCAAAATATTTATTCACTAATTAAAAATTTCAAGATCAAACTCTATATTTTTGGTGGAAGCATTTTATATTTATTATATGTGATAGTTTTTTTATGAAATATTCAAAAAGCGGAGCAACCCGACAAATATGAGATCATTCTGTGCCCTGTCTTGTGTGTCTTTACTCAAAAGGCTGTTCAGCACTACAGAGGCTCCGCAATCTCTGGGCATCAACGCAGGGCATGGATTTATAAAGATGAAGTTTATTGATATAAAAATATATATTATATCTTATTGCAGATATATTTTTGAGAATTCGGTAGATTATTGGAAATAAATAAATAAAAATATATTTATTTTGAAAAAATATTAATTTAAAAGTCATGTCCAACAATTTTAGCATCGAATTTGATGATTTGAAAATATTGATTTTGACTTTTGTTTGAAAATTATAAGAAAAAATACTTAAAATAAAATAAAATTTTTGATCAAAAATAAAAAATTTTAAATTTTAGTATATTTTAGAAGCATATTACATCTTAAATAGTTTCATATCAACTCAAATAAAGCATAATATAAAATATAAAAATATAAACTATAATATAAAATATATTATAGTTTTCTATAATACATTATTTATAAAAATCGATGTTATTCTTAAAACAGTTAATCAAAAACAAAATCATGTTTTTTTTGCCAAGAATCAATATTTTAAGTTTAATTTTCTGTGATTCAAACTAAATCTCTCAAAAAGTATTATGGTTCTTGCAAAAAATTGTAGTGTGTGCGCAAGCCATCAAGGCTTAAAAATTCTTGAACCAGTGTCAACACCGCGCCATTGCTTAAATCTCCCACATTTTTCCAAAAGTAGTGTATTTTTGGAACTTAGCTTTCTCTTACTCTACATGAATATTTGTAATCTTGGATGCTCATGAGGGGAAGGGTAGCGTGGGTGATTGGCATTCAGTGGAACCACTTCATCTTCCACAATCATAAGTGGACTCTACCACTCCTGGAATAACAAATATGGTATTCCATCCTCGATCTGGCACGGATGTCAGCGGCCAAGGTAGCATGGTGTTAGCGGCATCAACCACTAGAAGTGTGTTAGGCGACGAGGCAGTTCCATAAGAATTAGAACTATGCTAGACATGACGCAGGAATTTCTGAATTTATCGTGTCTTTCCATTATTGTGTTAGTTTTCACGTAGATAGTTAACTTTCATGGATTTATAAAGTTGAACAACTAAAAATCTTTGGTTTTGTGAGCTTGCTCTTTGGCCTGTTTGGTTGTGCGACTTAGTTTTTCTTTGGCTTTTGCAGTGGAATAAAATCATCATTTTCTCTTTTTTTTTATTAAAATAACCTTGAACAGAAACTTTGAACATATTTTGTTCTCTTCGGAATGTGTTTTGTAACCAGAATAGATTAATTTTAATGTATTAAAAGTTAACAAAAACAATTCAGTTCTACTAATTGCTGCAATGTTTGTAAGTTAATTTATATTTATCAAACCAAATATAATTTAGTTGGATCTATGTTAAGTAGCAACTAACATTGTACTCTAACCCTTTCAGTCTAGAATTATCAATCCACTTCCCAATATTGAACATTTGATGAACATTTGTCTCAACTCAATGCATGAGTCCTTGGCTCTAGAAAATCTTATTGCACTTGTGCGCCCCATTGCTGACATTTTGCAAGTCATGATCCAAACTTTAACCCTAGTCAGCCATCACAATAGCAAATAGCCTTGGCAGACGGATTCTGATCCATATTGCTATTGTGTTTGGAGCTTTCAATTAAAAAAAACTTGGATAATAAATTTTGCAATCTTGGCTTTTGTCTTTGAATATTTTCTATTACAAATTTTTTAGTTTACTTTTTGCTAAGTTCACAAACTTGTAAAATTTTAATTCATTTGTAGTATTAAATTTTTTTTAATATATTTTAACTTATATATATCATGAAGTCTATGAATGCATTTTTTTGTTAAATTCAATAAAAAATTCAAAGTAGTATTTTCATCTTTTAGTATTATGAATTGTTTAGACAAAATAAATTATGAAATATAATATCAAATGAATGAATATATGAAAATTATTTACTATTGGAAAAAAATATTGAGTCTTATTCATTAAATTAACGTTTAGATTAAAAGATAAGCATTAAATATGGTTCACATTATGAAGTACACAAGTAAAATAAATTGAATTTATAACTTGTATTGAAAATCGAACATTTGATTTTTAAAATTTTGGCCTTACTGTCAAATAAAATTTCATTGAATTTTCGTATTTTATTTATTTTTTATTGTTGCAAAAATATTCATGATTTTTATTGAATTTTGAAAATATTGTATCATATATTCATAAATTTTCTATATGAAAAATCAACAATTATTTTTTCCCAGTTAGACTCACTTTTGAAAAAATTCGTTCAATTTTTATCATTCAATAATAAAAATAATAATTCTGAGTGTGATGTTGAAATAATTATTTTTAAATTAAAATTGTATATTTTTGCAATCTTTTTTGAAATAGCTTTATAAACTTGAATTTTTAATTTATAAGTGTGGATTTGGGGTTGAAAATTTATGATGCTTGCAAAGCATCATAAAAAAATAAAATATAATGATACTGATTGTTATAAAATTTTTTCCATTAAACAAATCAGGGAAAATAACCGGATCAAACTGGCAAGTTAAATTACCTCATGCCTAATTGATCTATGTTTGATTTAGTCACTCAATTTGACATGGAACTCAGAGCAAGCAATTGACAAATTTTTGATGCTACTGATGTTGTTAAGAAAGTTCACACGGACTCGGTCATTGCTTGGACCTGATTCTGTCATCGAGCCTAAAAATTCATGTTCGACGCTTAATGATATTCTTTTATCTTCTTGCTGTCTCTCTCTACTGTTCTTTCGACGTTTTAACGCACATGCACTAAAACGTCGCCCCTGCATTGCTCTGCATGGAAACAGATGGGTACCAAATTTCGTCTTTCTACGAGTTGGTGAGTCACAAGGCGTATAGCAAATCGACGTAAATCAGTCTAGGACCATCCGGCAGGAGCAAAAGTCCGACATACAATAACTTAAAAAAGGTTTTACACAAACTGACGACCTAACGTAGAACACCTGAATTCCGTCGATTGTGCAGTCTGTCGTATTCTGTTTTTGTTCCCCACGTCATCCTCTATTATTGTTGGGGGTGCAAGCGTTCCGTGGTACCATCGCCTTCTGTTCTACATGCACACAGACACACAGAGAGGAAGCATTTAACAAAGTCTCCACCCGATCCGGAATCTTATACGATGCTTCTGATGGAATGGATGCCAAATGTTTCGGGGTTCAAGAGCTTTCCAGATTGCTAGTCCATAACATGTTCTGTGCCGCGTTTCTTCTCACTTGGACGGAGTTCTATTCCATAGGTACAAATCTCTGCATAAGATATGACAAGAGAAGACATGGTCGCAGCTCGTGATCGAAAGAGAGTAGACTTCCATCGCTATAACGGATGTTCAATGACCTCTCTGTCAAGTCAACATACATACACTTGCAGACGAATTTCACATCAGAGCAAGCAAGGTCACGCCTGGCCACGCATCTTACAAGCATGCTGAGTCTCCGGTACGCGAATTTTCACACCGATCACATTTTCTTCGAATCCCGTCTTTTCTTTACTTTCATCACGAACACAGAGTGAGTTTCAACGCAGCAACCAGCAGCGACTGTCGCATGCCACTGCGCTTTATTTCGGCTTCAGCTTAGCTGGCCGACCACAATATCTTCCCAAAAATCGATAACCTTTCTCCGGAGAGGGCAGAGCCTCGAATGGCTCGCCCCTCCGCAATCTTCTAATCTTATGTTCCTAAACGAAAACCCGAATGCGTCGAATCGCCCAGCGCAAAGGGGAGCAGATCAGAGTCACCGATCGTCGTCGTCGTCCTCAAAGGTACTTGAGGAAGATCCTGTGGACGGTGACGTAGTTGGCGGGGTTGGAGTCGTCGACGATCTCGCTGACGTCGTAGCCGTTGGCGAAGCGGAATTTGCCGGTGCCGCCGACGACGGCGAATTCTCGCGGCCAGACGTTGAGGGCGAAGGCGCCCTGGACGGCGAGCGTGCCGTTGTAGGACGGCGTGCTGAGGGTGAAGGTGTAGCTGATGAAGATGTTCTGCTTGCCGATAGTCACGAAGCCCGGCTCCACGCCGATGGTGGCCGACGACGGACTCGCGCCGTCCTTGAGCACGTTGCTGAACACCTGCATGGTCCCGAACCCGATCTGGCTCAGATTGCCCGTCGCCGTCACCACCGTCACCAGCGTCGGCTCCGGGGGGACCCTGCTCTCGTGCACGTACAGAACGATCTCCTCGGCGGCCTTCCGCCCTGCGACCTGCCCCAGATCCACCACGCACAGCAGCGCAATCACCAGCCCCAAGACCTTCGCTGCTGCAGACCTCTCCATCTTCGCTCGACCTCTGAGAAGAATGCGCCGAGGATTTCCTGGTGAGTGAGTGATCGATGAGCTGAGCTGAGCTGAGATAGGATGAGATGAGCTGAGCTCGAGTGGTCGAGTCGATGGGTGTAGAGGGTGGCAGGGCGAATGAATTTATAGAGAGTCGGGGAGATCACGAGGTGACTCTGGGCATCGGATCGATCCGGGGCTGGAAAGTGATGGTTGGTAAATGTGAGACCGCATGCGAGGCGGGCGAGCACGGCTGCGCAGGGAGGTGAGTGAGGTCATCCGCGCATGGCAGCGAGGAATCGACCATTTGGTGCGACCGAGGGCGAGCTGGCGTTGGATCGCATCTCGCGAATGTGTGTGTCTGTCTCTGTCTCTGGAGTCGAGCCTTCGGGCTCGCTCGCTCGCACCAACCAGCTTGTCGACTAGCTTCTGTCGACCCCGCTCCCTCCGGAGCTGCTTGCCTTGTTTTGCTCTGTCCTTCCGGCCTTCTGCGGCTCTGCCATTCCTGTTTCTCATGTTCACGTCCGAGTAGGCCTACTACGTGTACCGCTGCTTTTCATCCATCGCCCTCGTGGTAAAAAGGCCTCCCGAGAGACATTTTTAGTATTCAGCTCAAAAGCAATCAGCTTGCACTCTTAAGCAGTAGACTCGTAGAATCCGACAACCATCGATCGTAGCTTGTACGAACTACGAGACCTGTCGGTTTCCCTTGTAGCCAAGCGATACGTATACGAAAAAGTACAAAGGTGCTAGTATTTCATGCAAATGATACGGAACGACAAATGTGCTTCCATACGCATAAATTACGTTCATTACGCCCATTGAGAGACTTTCAGTTCCAAAAGCGATATCAAGAAGAACACCAAGAAAGGTCTCAGGATTTTGACCCGATTGGACGTGTGGTCTCTACAGGTCTTTCCATACTTTTCTGCAAACAAAATGCAACGAATAATAAATAAATCTAGAGGATGGATGGGAGGACCAGATAAATCCGTACATGGTTCTCAAACATAATTCAGAAGCCTCTGTGTCCCTCTCACTAGTTGTAGGCTCGTTGACCTTTCGCCAATTTTCTCTGAAGATTCCTGGGCAACACGGATGTGAATTAGGCTAATTTCATTGTGATTAGCTATATTCTGCAAGGTACGACAAGGGTGCTATTAGTCTGCATCTGCAAGGTTTTCCTCAATCCTACAGGTCCCCACACAAAATCGATACGCTAGATATTCACGGGGTTTGTGCAATGGCTTATTTATTATGCACGTTCATCGAAACAGTTGCATATTATTTTAAAGAAACCTTCGGAAATTGATGACAGCAGTACATGATTTTTGGATTTTTTTGCATTGACCCCTGGTTTGTTTTTCCTCTGAATGTGAAGATCAATGTTCTCAAGTATAAGACGTCATCATTCCCGATCATGGCCACAAAATTTAACTCGACATGTAGTTCTGTAACTTTTGTAGTCTCAGATGGTTCAGATCCATCTAGGGACAAAGATAGGCATCTCTTTGTCATTGATCCTCAATCGACTAATTTGATTTTAGATCCAACTTTTTGGGTGTACAAGTTTGTGATACAAAGAGTTGACGACAGTCATACCAAGCCATGCAACGGGACGAGGACCTCTGTCCGACGGTTGCCACCAACCAATTATACGTCAAAAAACAGTTCTCAGTCTTGGCTTATGAGTTTATTTCGCCGGGAGTCATACTTCTGGTTGGTGTTCATGAACGAAGATTGACCTTTATTTTCTGTAGATTTGGTGTCTCGCAGTGACAAGGGAGAATATTAATATTTGTGGATCGCAAAAAGCAATCAGCTGCGACTTCTCGGGGTCGATGATCGCGGGAAATGTATATATCGTATGCCAGCCGATATCTTGTGAATGACGTGAAACTTCTACGTTCATCCATCGGAAGCCCTTCCGATATACAAAGTTATCCAGGCCTTTTATCCTCCCGAGGGTAACGGTTTTCTTCTTACTGATTCCAATGCTCTGATGCTCGAAGTCTTGAGTCTGAAAGACCAGAAGCTAACTCGAGGAATAATCAACATGCACCCATTCGCACATGTTTACAGAATGTCATAACCGTCATAAAAGTGCATACACACGAAGGTCGCCTCGGTCCTAGCAGAGCAATGGCGAAACAGTGCAGAAAAACGCACCACTGTCCAGTACATGGAGCACGTAAACACGTACAAGTATTGATTAAGGCTCCCGTTCTAGTACAGTACTAGACGCTGAATAGACATAGCTCACGTACACCAGTGAGGTGGATCGAGCCTGTCGCTTCTGGAGACAAAAGTGCAGTGCCAGGTGCAGTCCAGAGCAGAGCCGACAATTTGACAATTATGAGAGTGGAGGGGACTGGACTTCGTCTGAAAGTCGTCGAATCATCTGAGACTGACCAAGGATACGTCAAAGAATGCCAAGGATCACAGAATCCTTCTGGCGTCCGCTCTAGGCTGCGGGGATTCCTGGTTCACTCATCACTTTAGGTTGGGAAACAACCAAAGCAGCAGGGGATTGCAGTGAAATACTAAACTAGAGTTCAGCCATACATGTCGAGCTTCCAGCGGAAACCGGCCCTTCCAAATTATCGGTGCTTCACTTGGTGCTTCATTTTACATGACACTGTCAATAAGACGAGCGAGGAGACCTAGGCTTGCGTGCACGGGGCTTATTTATGACATTGGCGTAAATTTCTTCAGATGCTTTTTTGGAGAATTTCCGAGGGCTATAGATAGTGCACGCTCTACAAACTAGCTTTCATATGAAGCCGTTCAAGTGCACTTTTCGTGTATGGCAGCGAAGTACATTGACTGTGCAGAAAGTCCAAGACTTTGCAGCTTTCGAGAGTATTACGGAAAGCTTGCCTCACATAGGAAGACAAGAGGTCGGTGAGGTAAAAGATGGTGGAGTTCTACTTCGGGAAAATCACTAAAACTTTTGGAGCAATCTACACAATGATGATTATCTCTTCTAAATTGATACCCCGATTCGATAATCATCTTACTAATCAAATTATCTTAGAGACCGGTCGTCCTTATCTTGTACAAAACCCTCATGTTCTCTTAAGCATCAGTAGGCTTTAGATTTCAGTCAATTGGCTCAGATAGTCAGCTTTTACACCTTACTAATCGCGGTTAACGCGACCACTTTCAAGCTTTATAATGGAATCCTCCAGGCGAATCTTCGTTATTGCACCGTCCAACATTTACCGAGAAAATTTGAGTTACAAAGATACTTCTTTCACGTTGATTGCACACTCGCAATGCCCAACGTCGAACTGTTCGAAGTTCATTCTCGAGGTACATTCTATGTCCTCGGGGGTTGAAAGTGTGATAAAATCATTCAATCGTGTCAATAAACAGTTAATCCCTCACCTTTACCAACATGGTCGACCCTCTTTGACCTTCGTACACGCTTTTGACCGATTCAGCTCGTCAGCTATATGACATTTACGTATAGGACATGAGGATGACGATACTGTAAACACATAATTGTATACAGTGTATGATATTTGCACATTCTGAAGACTGGATGTGACGCGATGGAGAGCTTTCCAGCGCGCAAATGCAGATCTCAATGTTCCCTGTTTTGAGCATTATAGTTTATAGAGACATGAGATCACGATCCAGTCGTTCTGAATATTTTATCTCTGTTCCATATCCATAAAATCATGTCTTGGAAACTGCGTTATCCAGAGTCATATGCATTCACAGTCCGATAGATAATTTCTAGGCTTTATCGTTCAGTCTAGCCAGTTCCTCTCCTGGGAACTTGTAAAACAGTCGAGGCGTTTACTTTATCGAAACGTTCGTCATCTTCATTGTTTTTGGAGGAGAAATTTGAAGGAAAGTTACCGCCGCCACTAATCTCGATCCTTTTGTACTTGCAGCATTATCGTTGCTGGTTATACGCTCGAGTATACGTAGTTGAGCTCACTGCTCGAACGGTAATCTGGAATTAAAGTTGCTCCTCTCTAATTCTACATGGAGACTGACCAAGTGCTCTTCCCAATACTACAAGGAACTATCTTTGTCACTAGAGCAGAGTGAAACTTGCGTAAGCTCATCGAGTCCTGTAACGATGAAGACAATGTCGGTTCAGGTTCAGTTCTAAAAGTACCATCCTCCGTACATCTAGATAGAAGTTTCCTTACATGCAGCATGTAAGGAAACTTCGATGTCTTATATCCCTCTGAAATTTAGTACGACTCCCCATGTCAATCTGTACTTGATTTCTCCTATAAAAACAACTGTGATGTCCAATGATTGTTACACTGTGTCCGTTCACACATGCATTTTGCTGGCCTCTGGAGGTCAAATTCTGAGGCAGTTGACTACTGACACAAGAATCAGGAGTGCCATAAGTGTATCACACTGAAAAGATTGTAAATGATATATGAGGACTGAGCCAGGCTGGACAAATTCCCTTCTTGGGATCTTAGTGGTCATGGTGATCACCCACCCCACAGTAGCCAGGTTCAGTAGGTAGCTAGTGTGACCATTATACTCATACACTCACACCCAACTGGCGATATTCTTAATCAGATGAACAATTCCCATATATGGCAGTGATTGTATAATCCTAGGTCCATGAAGCTTTTGGTAAGTATATCAGCCTCCATATCTGCTGTAACACAACATAGCTTGGTTGGACCCTTGTCTCCCATTCTCAATTCACCAACCATATCACATGCTCATATTTTTGGCCACTGCAGCCATATATTCAAGGCATCATATTCGGTCTCTTAGTCAAGGGTGCCACTAAATTCTTTTTTTTTTATTGGCAGCTTATAACTCCTCCATAGGCCAAGAAACAAGATCCTGAAGTAGACTTTCTTGTTGCCTAGTCCCCTACGTAGTCGGCATCAGCATCACTGTGACCATAACGAGGTTTGGGAACATTAGTAGTCCTTCAATTCTCAATATAGTGATTCAATGTAGCCTTGATTTAACTGAAAGGAGTCGTAATAGCAGCAATATGTCATGTATTGTTCAACTGTGCTCGTGCTGTACAAGAAAAAAGTGCATTCCAATGTTATGAGCCCACCACACTCTTGAAAGAAAACTTACAATACTCCTTCAAAATCTCCTTAGTACGTCTTCATCCGTAAGCTTCTCACCCACAACCTATGGTGAATACTTGCTGAGAAGTCTCATTGATCATCAGTACCTTCAAGCGCTGAATAGTCAGGTTCAGTAGACAATTAGGTTTGAATACCTTACTCCGACCAATTCTTCTCTAATATTTGTTAATGTGAAGATAATAACTCAAGTTTACATCTCGACAAAATTGAAAGTCTTTGGTTGTGGTGTAGAACTTATAATGGAGGTCTTCCGAATCTGGGACATGAAAAAACAAATTGCGTTCACTGTAACACATAGTTCATCAAGAAGAAAGATCCTTGGAGTTAATGAAATACCGAACATATTAGTTGATGATTCATTTAAAAAAAAGTGAATTTGAAAGACGAATATATGCATACATTTGTGTTTATTTGCCTACATCCAGAAGTGTTTTATCAGAGTAAGGATGATCATGTCTTGCTTTTTAAACTTTACTGGTTCATTTGAGGATCCCTTTTGATTCGATATATATACAAATAGGTGAACATAAATTTTTTGGAGAATTTCTAGGACTCCAGATGTGAGAAGGTCTGAAGGAGTTTTTATATTTATTTGAGGACTAAAATCTTTGGATTTTGATGCCTTACAACAATTCGAATCATCTTCTATTTTTCCCAGTTACGTTCCCCAAAAATGCTTTGGCTCCAAAGATGAAGTTGCAGCGCATAGAGCACGCTGTGCCAATTTGGACGAATGTGAGCTGAAACTGGTAACAATCATGGACAGTATTGTCGTCACCAGAAACCACGCAGTACATGTGATCTCCTGCACGTCCAAGAAAATGCTTTTTTCTATTTCTGGCGCAATCTATGCAGAATTGTGGGTGGACCTTGGACTAGATTGGAGTCCGTACCATCGCAAGCGCAGGTGGAGAAATGAAATTCATTATTTCGACACTTTAAACTGTTGCTGACCTTTCTAACCGTGACTTTGAAGAAAAACCTTTAAGAGACGCTAAAGGTAGAAGAACAAGCCACTGTGGATCGCCGTCACAACACTTTGCAGGGGATCCAGATCCAGAGTCTTTACCTTCCATTGCAGGATCTCGTAGAGGAAGGTTTCATCTGCTATGCCATCTACGATATATCTTGCCGGTACTCGTGTGCAGGAGAGAAGAAGCCATCGAGGCTGAATTCTCTTGGATTCAGATTCATGAACGACTCTGACTCATCTGAGCCATATGTTTTTGAAATATGGTCGCATGGAGGCATTTCCTTTTGTTTCTTTGACTGCGATCAATCATCCTCGGCCTCCTGTATCTAAGAAGCATCTAAAAGTTGCTTCAGGGGAACGGTTGGATTGGACCATGCTTCTGGTTGTACATGTGGGTTAAACATTTACACGAACGAGACGGATTGGAAAGTTTTGTTCATCAACATCTCACCAACAAAAATGCTAGAATGCCGTAGCTGTTGAAGTAGCCTGATGATGCGGGCTTCAAACATGACTTTCAACAGCAAAATGAAGGAAAGAGTAGGCTGACTTTTTCATATTCGAGAAGTCTTCTGCTTGAAGTGCTAAGGATTTGTATTTTTGCGGCGTACTGTACATGTAACTTCCAAGAACTTAATGAAAGAATCTAGTGAAAGTCAACGTCGAATCGATAACTGATCGACAACATGTCCAGATGAGAGGAGATGATCACCGGCCTTCAAGTTTGAAGAGAAATTACTGTGAGAAGAAGGCGAGCGCACGAAACCCGAAAAGGCGTTAACTCATGACGGCCATGGCCTCGTTGTATCAGCGACCTTCATAGAAAGACATGTGCATACCAAACATCCCAAATGCCAACTAACATGCGCAAGGAGTCAAGGAGATAGTGCACCTCTGGGAAGCAACGATAGCCACTCTTGAATCACGCTCAGAGGGGACATCGCTTTAGTTTCATGCAAGCTGTAAGTTCCTCAAGAGCTCAAAGTTCAGACAAAAGCTTCAAATCAAAAACCTTTCCACGACAGGGTGCCTGCCATGCTTACACCATCGAAAGTATAGACGACCCTGATACGCATTATACCAAATTGGTCACATGATTTGTAGGTAGAGTTCTGAGCCCATCCTTTTCCAACATCTGTCCCAATCACCTCCCTCGCCCAACTGAAGTTTTAATTTAGCATATAATTCGCAGTCGTTTGTCTAGTTTGTTTCGACCCACTGCGAAGGGTGACGCTTCAGTCTAGAATGCTTGCCACTCATCGCTCACGTGACAGCGAAAGATCGGGACGCAGCAGCCTGATCGCCATAGGATCTTCCTGAAAGCCAAAATGTAGCCGACCAACCATATCACAACATTGTGAAATTCGCAGTAAATTTGTGCCACCAAACTTGTAGTAGCATAAGACACGAAAGATAAAGTACGTAAGAGCTTTTGCGAGTGCTCTGTTGGCTTCTCCATCATTGGCAGTGAGGTACTGCAGCTGCACCAGAATGATTGTGCGTGCAGAGTGCATAGCGTAGGACTGGCGCCGCTCATTGTTTAGGTGCAGTCCTATCCCGATGGTTGTTGAGTTAAAATCTGGGGACTCCTCGAGAACGAGTTTACCCCCTCCAATTACCACAACTTCTAGCCTCTGTGCACGACAGATTCAGGCCGCAAGCGATCTTTTATGGTCAATAATGGAAGCGAAACGCGTGTAGATACTGACGGATTTATATATTTGGAAGGTTTTGTTTTTCTATCGCTTCTGTGGGATATTCCAAGCCCACTACGGCACCATACGGACGTCTCTGTCGATTGCAAACATCAGGAACATTACACGAGAATCATGCTTTTCTTCGGACGTGCCATGGAAACAAGACAGGAACTTATACTTCATGTGGAGCAGTTTACCTTAAAGTACCTTGGTTGATTGGATTTGTCTCTTCCGTGGAAAGGCTATGCTTTTCAAGACTTCTCCACACCTCACCAAATTTTTGCTAGACAGGAAGTAAGAACTTAAAAGTACAAGCACTTTTGTTACGAACTTGTAGAATGAAATGAATGTCATCTTTATGTCAGTACTTACTTTACGAGTTTAAGCCGCATATTTTGAACCAGCACAATGTTTTGCTTCACTTTTTATGCCTTGCTGTGATGAGATACCTACGATACGTATAAGATGTCCCATACTGTATGGGACATAAATCATCGAAGTTGTCAACCTGCCCTCTTGATTCTTTTTTTCTTATACGGTTGTGGGCTAAAGTAGTTCTGAGATACTCACTTCCATCGATGCAGTCGAATGGCAGAACCAACTCCAGAATAATTGCAACACTGCCTGTTGATTCCCTTCTAGTCGCCAATTCTGACATTGATCCCGCCTATGATGTTCGCTGAAAAAGGCTGCACTCTTAAGGGTTTGATTGATATGCTGATGTCACTTGAGTTGGAGACCGTCATGAGTGTACTCGGGGATGGTCTACCCTTCGATGTTCATACTTTTCAATAAAATCCGGGGAGGGGCTAGTTATCCCTCACTTAGTGCTAATCTGTTCTGAGGGTGAGGGATAACTAGCCCCTCCCTAAAAATGGCTGGGCTGAAGTACGGTGTATAATATGTATATGTATAATAAGTATGTATGTGTATAATACGCTCTGGTAGATGACCTTGTGAGTGACCACAATCATAATGTAATTTTGTTCGAGGTCATTGCTACGTTTCTACTCCACATGAAGGCGAGCTTGGGTCCTTGTGATGGTAAGCTTGCAAATATGTATATATGTTAGATTGCCATAAAACATTACAATGTTAGTATCTCAACCATCAGCCTTATGAACGCCTTTTTGACAGCAGAACAAACAAACGTCAAGTCCGATATGAAGATCTAGCAGCCTGATAGTTCTCTCGGTATTTATGTATTGGGAGAACATGGGTACCAAGTACTGTAACGTATCAGAAAAGGTGTGAAGAGAGTATGTATTCACTAGAAAGGTGACGTAAGTTTCACCGTCACAGTTCATGTTAGATAAGGATAGGGTCTCGAGGTCTCTAAACCCTGGCTAAAATTTGGGAATATTGAATGCTCTTAAGAATCCTCCTTAATCGCTCTCCTACTGCTATAGTTCTTACTGAATAGGACATCCGCTCAAGGAGCGACAATACAGAACTCTGTGTCTCAAAATGGTGAGGACCCAGTAATTGGACCCATGAGTACATTTACTGCACTAGATGATGTTCAACTCAAGATTTACATGCGCAGCTTACATGGCCAACACAACTACAGACATAGTAGGTTCATGTGGAGACTTCGTGATATATTTTCGCACGCATCATCCTGCAGGTGACACTATCACACGTTCAAAAGATGGAAATCCAATTCCTGCTTCCTCTACCACTTATGACTTAAGCATGACTTAATGCTAATAAGCACGATTAGAAAGGTACATTCCTGCTTATCGCAAACCACGTGCAAAACATGCTTCGATTTCGTGCAGTTCTGTATCCACAAAGGACAGGAGCCCAGACTGGAAAACAGAGGCTGCTGTAACTACTGTCTGAAAGATCGAGTCAGACATGCAAGCACTGATTGGATATTGGAAAAGAGTAAGGAAACACATTATAAATGTGATGGAATCAGTTCTGAGTCAGATACAGCCGTAGAGACTTGGATATTCCAAAAAATGTATGTGCTCGATTTTAGATAGAAGTTCAAGGAAATCCTGAAGATTGAGGATCTCTATAATCGATTTAAACTCATACTATATCCCCGAGTATTGCTTGTCAAGCGTGCCAATAATTTCCTTCTAACTAATTATGGTGACGTTGATGGTGCAACACTGTTTCTGTTTTCCTTTTAAAGAACGATTCAGCTGATCACATCCAGATTCAACATTGTGATAACTCAACAAGTTACTAAGCAGCACCGATTCGTTCCACAGTCACCAGCGGTTCCTTTGATTTCTTTTGCACCTTGTTCTGCAGACCTTGCCACGTGATCTTTATCGGACTCAGGCCCTTCATTAGATTCTCATCCACGGGCGACAATGACTTCAGAATCCATGCCGAAGAGCAGTAGCCAATTGGCGAACATGAACAACTGACGCCAGTGACGACAGACGAGAGCGGCTAGTCTGTACAGAATTTCAAAATTCTGCGCAAAGCATGGTCAGAGACCGAATAACTTGCGTCTATTTTGCAAGACTGTACAGACCAGCCCTCTCGTCCATTCCAATGTCTTCACGAATGCCAATTTAGAGAAGTGAGAGAACCAGAAAGCGAATTCTTCCAGTTTCATGAGTTGGACGTGAGAATCACACCAAACCTACTATGATGTCACACTAATATGCTTTTAGTCGGAAGCATAAAGTATTTCTTTCATTTTCATCTCATACGGTAGATTAAGCTCGGCGTTACTCCAATTTTACTCCATTACGATTTCACCTCGGACCTTTCCGTAGAAGCTGTCTGCATATTCCTGGCCAGTTTCGACCAGTTTCTGCATGGGATCCCTTTTTCTGCAAGTCCTGCTTCACAAAAGGAACTCCACTTTCAATCCGCGATCATTGTGATATATAAACAGCGGGGGACTCACGATCACAACAGACCACGTCCGAGAATCTCCACCTCCATCTCGATCGAACCGAACGCCTCCCGATCGCTGCAGCACCAGCGCTAGACAGCTCGAGGGCGCATTCAGCATATCCGGCGAAATCGAAAGCCGAGAAATCGGAGGGAAGAAGCATCCGGTGCAGCGATCTCGGAGGGGGCGAGAATGGAGAGCAGCAGGAGGACGATGATCGCAGGGATGTGGATAGTGTTAGGATTGCTGGCCTCGACGGCGATGGCGGTGGAGGCCAAAAAGGGCCCCAAGTACGTGGAGCTCTTCGTGCACGAGAGCCGCATCCCGCCGGCGACGCTGTTCCTGGTTGCGCCGGTGGCCGGGGCGCTGAGCAACCGACAGGCGGGCAGCATCCTGGTGATCGACAACGTTCTGCGCGCGTCCAACGCGTCCGACTCGGAGGTGATGGGGCGCCAGCTCGGCCAGGTGGCGGTGGGCGGCGACAACCTCACCTTCTTCGTGTCCTATACCTTCCAGTTCAACGAGGCCTCGGGGCACCCGGGCTCCATCACCGTCACCGGCATTCTGCAGTCCGGCACCCTGGTCGTCACCGGCGGCACCGGCACCTTCGCCTTCGTCCGCGGCATCGCCTTCCCCCAGACCGTGGCCGACACCGGCGCCACCGGCATCTACAAGTACAACCTCCAGCTCAAGTACTGAAGCGCAGCCGCTGCGATCAGACCAGAATCGAATTCGTGATCGACCATAATCTGCTCGCTTGATTGCTTGCTTGCGGAGGAGCACCTGGAGGCTGGATTCATGGCAGTGTCATTCAAAGTTGTTTGCAGGGCTCGGATGTTCCCGGAGTGTCGTGCCACTCGTCTCCTCTCGCCCGGCAGGGGATTTTTTTCATTGCTTCCGACGAATGATGGAGCTCGATCCATCTCTCGGAACTCATGTGTTCGAGTTCCGGAGAGTGGAATCTCTTGACGATATCGGGCTCCTTCTGAGTAATAAAGTCCAGTTAGTTGATGCTCTTTGGGTTTCCATGGTTGTGACCATGATGGATGAAATGAAAGTCCTGTCATATTGTCGATCGCTTGCATCGTCGATGACGTGCTGAGACGTGTGCGTTTGTGTTCTTCGTGTATTTTGTCGCTGAATTTTCTCGCTCTGTAATCAGGACTTGCGCCTGCAGGTCCTGGATTTAGAGGTAGAGGTAGAGGCAGAGGCATTCGACGAGAACAGACGACTAGGGAACCGTCCAATTGTAAAACATTGTGAAGAATGTGCCCCGATTCTAACTCATACATGACTTCCAGCTTCCTCCTGATTTGTGAAGAAGAGTGAAACCAGAGTGCTTAGAGAGACATGAACTCTTCCATCGAGTGTGGAATTGCGCGATGAGAGTATTCTTCAAGTCCGTGAAGACGACACGTTCGTGAAAATGCGAGTCAGAAGTTGCCACCGGGAAGTTCCCAGGATCCCGAGCTGCAATCTCGTGGATTGCAGCTCGCGTGCTCTGGCACTCGAGCTGTCAAGGCAATTGAGAGAGCTCCAGGCTTGAACATGCCTCGAGAGCAAGTAATCGATAATTATGAACGATAATCGTAGCGAGAAGAACCCCTCAATCACGTCAACGGAAACGGAACAGGGCTATCGGGACAGCAGCAGAGGCAGCCGAGCTGACGAGAACAAAGCAGAGCACACAAATGTGCATGAGCGCGCAGGAGAATGCTCTGAGCTCTACTCTAATCTAAACCAAACCGAGCTCAAAATGCACAGCCTGAATCCCATCTACTCGGCCGGAGATCGAGAGGTCGCGGGCGTTGTTCATGGCAAATGGATCCAAAAGGCGACGACAGAGTTCGGGGCGGCAGAAAGGCTTGCAGCATTCACGAATATTCAAAATAAGGTCATCCCCGGTTAATCGAGTGCGACCCTGCAATCCTCTTCGTTCTAATTTCCGGGCATGGAAGCTGGGGATTTGTCAATTTCCTGCTACGGGCTTCATCATCGTTCGATCGTTAGTGCTTGGGCACAGAGCTCGACATTTGCAATCAGAAGCGTGCAATCGTTGCTCGGAACTAGTTCGAAGGAATGAGTGCGTCTTGCAGTGAGAATGATTCCATGATTCCAATGTCATGATTGGAACTCAGTGACCCATTTGTATCCCACGACGCGCTTTTGTGCCAGTCCAGTGTGCAATACACAATGCCCGTGAACCGATTGGTGATTCAACCTGCTGGTCGCGACCTCGCGGCAGGAAGCTGCACCCTCAAAAGCTAACCGGCCTCCGTCCAAATCGCATTTCTTCCGGGACTGGAAAGATTTGACTGATCTGCCAGAGCCAGTGACGAATTTCCTCACGACTTTTCCTCACGAATCGGCTCCTGACGAGAGAGTTCCGATCCAAAGCCAGATTGGAAGCATCTTGTGTACGGGGTTGCCATCATCATCGGGTGGCGAAACATCTTCAACGACCGATGTAAACGAGGTAATGCGCATGCCAGAGCCAGAGAAGATCCCCGTGCATGCGGGACAACAGAAACTGTCCTTTCCGCTTCCCATCCCCAGTCAATACCGATGCCCAAAAAACTTCTCAGAACAACAACTACAGTATGCGCTTTTTCTTCCTTCGTCCCACATTTCTGCACCCGTGCATGAAGCGAGAAATCATTCATCATCAAGAAGACACGCCTGTCCAAAATCGCATCAGCTGTCCCACAGAAATGAGCACCAAGGCTGTTACTGACAGGAGGATCGGTACGGAGAGAAGACTGACTAGCTCCGGAGATACAGCGTACGATCGATTGTTGTACTTCCGAGATGCAGAGTTATGCAACACACACGACTGTGGAACAAGGAAGCCCACAAAATGGATTGGATGCGGAACAATTTGACAAGTGAAAGCGTTATTGAAGATAAGTTCCTATGCTGGATTCCAGGCGACATGGACAGGTACGTGCGTCATCGCATGGTCTGCATTTGATGCATCACATCCAGATGCTTCTGATCAGTTTTGAGATTAGCATTCACCATTCTTCTTATCTCGGTGAATCTAAGTCTTGTTGCAAATTGTCAGCTGTGAGTTCAGGCGCTCTCGATTGCGTTCATAAAAGCAAGCTGGACCCTCGTCCACTCATAGGCCACAAGTCGGTGAGAGACGTCCTGGTCATGAACTGAGCCGAGAGGAGATTATGCAACCCTTTACCCAAATCTGCTCTTCGTTCATACTTGATTTGAAGAGCGTTCCGGCCCAAGGCAATATTGAAGCATATTTATTGTACATGGTGTCGCAATCATCATCAGGCTGATCTAGCTTCAACCACTGTCGCGAACGAGGAGATGCGCAAGCTAGAGCCGGAGAAGATCATCGTGCATGTGGGGAGAAGGAAACTCTCTCTGTCTTATGAAGATTTGATCATACCTAAGCTCCATGCTGAGAACGTCAATTTGCATATGTTCATGAAGTTTTCGATGCGAGCTAGTGTCAATCCAACTGATGCTCCAGTGGGATTCAGCAGGCCATGCACACAGAATATGACGCTCGTGGACTCGAACTTTGTGGCTTGTAACTAAAGACTTGAGTATGTTGATTCCGTTCAGTGAAGTGCCCAGAAGATGTCGAAGAGTCACTCCTCGACTCTCGAGTTCTTATGCTTGGGCCAGGAGAAAATTACTTAATGTACTCATACGAAACACAAAACATTTGCTAGGACCCAACACGATTCATTTTACCATGCGGAATCCTCAATGGCTTGCATCACACCGTCATCCATGTTCCAATACGAATTATTGTAACCCGGTAACTTTCAACACTTCAAAGAAGATTACCTAATCAAAAACTTATCTTCAAGTGCACAACAATGCTCAACATGCTCAAAAATGCCTCCAGATAAGCTACCCCATCCATGATTGATCACCTGCGACAGATACTCATGCACGAGGCTTTCGAGATAAAAAGCTCAACTGTCACTTACTACGCTTTTCTAACTCATTGATGGTAGGTGTAGGGTTGATTTGCTCCTCACCTGTGCGCAGCTCGAGTTTTCTGGTGGCTTCTTTCTGCTTTGCATGCCGCTCTACATCTAGGTTCTAAACTCACATGTGTGATGAGGCGGGGCTCATCCGTGCTTACCAGAACATACAGAATTGTTTACTACGATTGGAACATGGGTTACGAGGTCACATTTGGTAAAATGAATCGGGTTGGTCCCAGCAAGTGTTTTGCGTTTCATAGGTTCCATCAAGTAATTTTCTCTTGGGCTAGTAAGTCATAGTTTGGATAGTGAAAGAAGATCAAGAGGTTACCATTAGAGAGTATGCCGGATGTATGCTTTGAAGTACAAGAGTATCGCTACCCCGTCTTCAACAGTTCGAGTATTCGTTATTGACAAGAGCACAGCTCTGATGTCACTGCAGTGATCGAGTGTCTAAATGTTCTCCAGTGAGAGATCAATGCTTGATTGGAGCCCATGGTCGAAACGCTTAGAGTTCGGACTTCGACTCTGGTGGAGGAAGGGCTGCTCCTGCATTCATGAAGCTTGTGAGAGCCTTAAAAAAGCGAAGTGGATCGAATCAAATTGAAGAGAGTCCCTCGTTTGTTATCTGTCCTTGCATAGACCCACTGCAGATTGTTAGAATTTATGACAGCCTGGAAAGAGGTCAACATCATTTGAGAATCCCGCAAACAAATAAAGCTTGGACAAAGGAAGCCCAAGGACAGAGCCCACCCGTTACGTCCCTTAAAATATCTTGTGCAGTTGTTGCTTCAAGGTCTACCATGAGCATGATCTGGACAGATGGATGGCGATCATGAGATTCTGAAGATTCAGAAACATTTGAAGACAAGAATCCTTATGTAGTATTGTTATTAATTACACTGCAGCACACTCATCGTCTGAGCTTCTTCTCCACATCATAATAGATAGTTAGTACCATCACGAGAATCACTGGAGATCCACCTGTACTTATGGATGCTCCAAGCTCAACACTTCTAGTGACTACATGTGATGGAAGTCTCAGGAGGACGAAGAGGGAGAAAGAAAAACAATCTACCGTGCGTCCAGTCATGATAACCGATGACCAATGCATCCATGCAAACTGTGTGAGGACGTCCTGAATCCGATGATCGTAGGTTCTAACACAAGTTGAGAACCGGTTCTACCTCTCCACAAGTCAGTGTCCAGCGGGAGTGCTTGTGCTACACAGCACAGGATTTTCTGCTGATATGCACTGGAGCATGGAATTGTCAAAACCGTAATCACCTCCTTGACTCTTGTGAGAAGACGCACAGCTCCAAGGGCCCGCACAGCAGCACTGGTCGCTTCGCTGTGACGCCGTACCAAACATTTCCTTCCATTACTTTGAGAACGAAAACGCCGATGGTTAGGACACCAGGACGCAAGGAATCATCAGCCTGAGGTCATACTTTGCAATTGCAAGAGAGCGATGTGATGTAGGCATCACTCCTTACCGTTGCTGTGCTCGGCAAAGAAACTCAAATCACAGAGGTCTTGGTCTTCTCGTTCGGTGGATCTCCTTCGTTTGGCTTGCAAGAGAACATTGCTTTTGATCTCAATACTCTGCAATGAAACTCACTGCATGGGGATAAGACGAACGTACAGAAGAAATTCAAAGCACGCACTCTTTAACAGCAGAGCAAGCGCAGAAGGGCCTAGGAGCAAGCCTGAAGAATCTGAACCTCCATGTACAAACCTGATACAAGTGATCTGTTTATTCCAGTCAACTCTTTGAAGCACCTGCAAACCTCGCATAGATAAGGTCCTTCGATGCAAGAATTCATTGACATTGACTTCGATGTAGATATAACTCTCATGTAAAACGGAGTACTCACGGGCCAGTTGCCGTCATATGGAAGTTTGCTTCTTCAGTAGCGAAGTTTGAGGATGCACCCTTCAACCATTAGGTTCTGGTGATCGTCTTAAGGCACGATCAGAGCAAGATTCACACTTGTTGTCTCCCAATTACAGTTGGGCCGTACATTAAATTTCATCGCAAAGATACAACAGCCAAAGTTGTATATCAACGTCAGGGATTTCTTGACTATTAATCACAGAAAAACATCTTCTCCCGAGCACACTAAAACACGGGAATTTGGATCTCTTGCGTTAAGTGAGACTTTCATGCTTTTCACAGCTTCAATACAAAGTCCAATTGACCATCTACACCTGATCTCTTGTGTTAAGTGAGACTTTAATGCTTTTCACAGCTTCAATACAAAGTCTAATTGACCATCTACACCTGGATCTCTTGTGTCAAGTGAGACTTTAATGCTTTTCACAGCTTCAATACAAAGCCTAATTGACAATCGATATAAGCGAGGACTAGCCTCTAGCCTCCCATTGGTTTTGCTAGTTTTTGATTTTGATGAGGACTATTCTTCGTTTTGTTATCCATGTGAACCCCAATTCAGTCTCACATTTCTTATCTAAGTTTCTGTCCGCCTTGGTGCAACATGCTCCCCATAAGCCTTTAGTATTCCACATGGTGGTCGGACACATGGGTTGGAGATTCTTTTTGCTAATCTTCGGTTTTCATATTTTGATAACTAGTTCGAAACTTATGGAAATTGAAAAGAAATAGTTATTATAGAATTGAGATTTTAAACATTGTGCATGTCTGCATGTGAGATTTATAAAAGGTTAAGAGGTCATAGCTATAGAGGGTATATATATATAATAGCGAGTCTCATATTCCCACCCTGCTGATTTGCTTTTCCCATTCTTTGTACTGCCATGCCATGAATTCTCTTTGATGTCGAGGCCTTGAAGGCTGCGTGCATAAAGCTTCATGCCGTTCACCTCTATAGCATCACCACCAAACCATCAGATTACAAGATGGACATCCTATTGTTGCACTACCGCACGATGATCGCCATGGTGCAAAGAGAGGAGACATAATCAAGGAGGCAAGTAAACTCTCAGGAAATGGAGAAAGGTGTCGGGGAATGGAGGGAGGAAGATCAACCCCCTATAATACAATGCCAATGTTCGCAACACAAATTGGAGATATTGTAATAAAATATGTTTGCTTTGCATCCATTTGTTAACTAGCGAGAAATAAATATATATGCGACGAAATTGCACATAGTACTATTTATTGGATCTAGTATATCACAAAATTGATGTACTCTATGCAATCTCCAATAATGTTATAAGAAATTGCTTAGAGTATATCAAATTTTATGCTTATTTTTCATAGCATGATGATTGCTTGGTGAACGTGAATATCATCACAATCATGTTAGGTCTTGTAGATATTTGATATTAAGCTTCCATGCCCATATCTCCTACTTAACACTATTTTTGATGAGTCTAGAATAATTGATGTCCTTGATCTCATGTACTATTTAAACATGTTTAATATATCCTTAATGTGTCTAACTTACATTAGAACTTAATGCTAGATATAAAAAGATCACATGTAGATTTTGTGTAAAATACTTATGTATAATATACTAACATGTGCATGCTATCAATTTAATATTCAGTATCAATTATAAGATATTTATGTTTCAGTTTGAATGATATCGGAGCAAAATAAATTAGTAAAGTAAACAAGAGTTAAGCAGATCTTTCATCCTATTTTAAAAGGTAATCTATTATGAAGAGAAACATATTTTTTCATGCCCTGTACATCCAACAATTCCTGTTTTTTTTTGGAAAGTAATAAAGAAACTACCATATTTTGACTTTTTTGAGCCTGTTTTCTATACATAGCTATACTCTTCTTACAAGTGAAGTCTTCTTTTAAATAATTCATAGGTGAGTCGAACCTTCTATAGTTTCATAGGAATTTCAGTGTGGCTTCATTAGTTGTGAAAAAGTGAGTTTTTTACATAGTTAGATAGAAGTGAGACGTTACACAATTTTCTGCAATGAAAAATTCATTGATGATCATTTTATGATTATTTTCTTAGCATGTTCATGTAGCTCTGTTCAATCTTCTAGCACCATCATCTTGCACACTAATCTAGTTCGGATTCCATAGAACTATTTTGTTATGAAATTTTATAGTAAATTAAGCTGTTTTGTAGATTGTAATAGTATTCCATGCAGGTATATATCTAAAGATGAGAGAAACGGGTATACCTTAAAGATAATTACTTTTGTGACATCCTTTAACGATACATAATATTTGTTGTAAGCATGAATATTTCAATTTAAAATCAACTTCTTACAATACATTGATAGTAACTGAACTTATATCCATCGCTAAAAGATAGTAGGAAAATAGTCAAAAAATCACAAGAATAATCACTATGGCAAAACACTACCAGTATCGTTATAGTGTTCAAGACTATTAGACCTTGCTCACCGCTTTAAGTAGGCAAAAATCATTGGAAGACACTTACTTGATAATTTCAACCCACTGTAGTCGTGGAGTTTATTTGAGTCTTGAGACTACAATGTAATTAGTGTTTTGTATGAGTATAAGTTAGAGGAAAAAACCATATATAATGTGAGTGCTATGTGTGTTTACTATCACTCGAGTTGAGATAGAAAGTACTTCCACGTTATACTACAAATTGATACTTTGTGTTGTATTAAAGTTGGGTGTAGTACTTATTTCCAAGTTGTACTAGAAATATGTTATACTACAAATTGATACTTTGTGTTGTATTACAGTTGGGTGTAGTACTTATTTCCAAGTTGTACTACAAATATGTACTACGTGTTGTATAAGAGTTGAGTATAGTACGTACTTCCAAGTTGTACTACTCATGTACTACATTTTACTTTTGAAAGTTTTTTTGAAAAGCTATATATAAAGTGGGCGGCTCATTCCAAGCCGCCCACTTTATATATAGCTTTTCCAACTTTGCGTTTTCACAGGTTCACGTTTTGAGTATTTCCATGTGTACCTTTTAGTATTTGTGTGTGTTTTGAGATTTTTTTGGTTTTATTTAGTAGTTAGTATGAAAAGTTGATCTTTTTCTCCATACAACGTCTGTTTGAGAGAAAATTGATCTTAAGGATAGAAAAACATTTTCTCAAACCATTCTCAAAATCTTTTGTTGATTGTAGAGCGGAAACTAAAGTATGTTTCAGTTTTTGTTTTAAGTTTAGATCATATGTAGATAAAACGTTATGACGGTTAGAAGTTAAGGGGGCTTTCACAAGTAGCAAACGTTTGCTCTCACACAAATTTGTAAGAGAAAATTAAATTTTTTTATTTTGATATATTGTTCAAAATTTTGCATGAGTGTGTATTGGAAGATAAACTATTCATCAAGCTAAATTTCACATCTAGAGAAAAAATAATGTTGTTTTGAAGTTTACGTGTACAAAAGCAAGAAAAAAGATCAAAATTTTTGGATTTCTTTATTTGTAGTTTTTTTCAGGTAGAGAACATTTTTTGAAATAGAATTTTTAAGTGTTTTCAGTGATTTTAATGTCATGGATTTTTGTTGCTAGTAGGCGTAGGCCCAGCAACTTTTTCCAAATCCTTCATCTTAAATGTAAACTTAAACTGGTTTTCACATTTGTTAACATTGGATTGAATTTTTTTCAAGATGTCTAGCATGTCATACACGTAGAGTACTAGAATTGAAGATTTTTTTATTTAACTTCTTCATGTATACACAAGGATTATATACACTTTGTGAAAAACATTGTACTTTCATGAACTCATCAAATCTTTCACTTCAATATTATGAGTTAGCTTCAATTCATATAATTATCTCAATAATCTTCGAATCAACTTTCTTTGATCTTTCTTCTCAAAGCCATTTAGTTATTTCATATAGATTTTATATCTTAGAGATTTATGAAATTATGTTGTAACAAGTCAATCTGATTCATAACGAAACTAAATATCATAGCAAGTGTGCTAGACAAATTGTAGCATATTTTGAAAAAGTTGAGAAATTTTTTTTGTACTCTATACTTTTCTCTTATGTGAAAGTTCTAGCCATCAAACTAATATTGAATTTATTCATTTTTCATTATATGAATTGTTCATCAATTTGAATATCAATTTGCAATCAATCAAAACCTGATTCATGGATTGTTCCATCAGCTTTCAAATCTTGTTATTCATCAACAACAACATCTCAAATTTCAAAATAGCATTTTACTCAAGCTTGTTGATAAAGAGTTGAACTTCTTTATAATAAGAAGATTTTCTTCTTCTTCTTCTTTTAGACACAATGTCATCAATCACGATCTTCAAAGATGAATGAATGAATTCATGTTCCATATGTTGCAAGAGGTTTACTTATCCAGTTTGATGATCTTTTATTAAAAGATTTTGGTTGCCATCACCATCAGATTTCTTTTCTTCACTAGGAGTAACAAACTTTCTTCTTCTTTGTGGCAACAATTTTCACAACCTTGATTACTATCAGATCCTCATTTTGCTTGATTGGAATAATCTTGCTTCATCTTATTTTCACTGTCAGATTCATTATTTTTCCCTCATCTTTTGAAACAACCTCCACAACCTTTTGCATGCCACTCTAATCATCATTAACTCCCTAGTTTGCTCAACCAGAAGCATTACTTTCTTTGGCTTCATCTTATTGCCACGGCCAGCTCCATTACTTTCTACTTCAATTTTGTAGCAACCTCCACAATCTTTTGCATGACATACTGATCACCATTAGCTGCCTAGTTTGCTCAATCAGAACCATCTCACTTCATCATATTGCCACAATCACATTCACTACTTTTTCCTCCAATTTTGTAGCAACCTCCACAATCTCTTGCATGATCTCCTAATCATCATCAGCTTACTAGTTTGCTCAATCAGAACCATCTGGCTTCATCTCATTGTCATGGCCAGATCCATTGTGATGATCATGCTCACGACGTCCTCAAAGATCTTCATCGTATCCTCCATAGCCACGGTTACGATCTTCACAGCCATGGCCGTCTCCGCCACAACTGCCTTTACAGTATCAGTCTTTGCTGTAATTTCCACAATGTGATTTTTCATCTACACCGTCGAAGCCGCCATCTCCTCCACCAGCAACATAATGAA